TCTGATGACACCTGGTCCCCTCCAGTGCTGTCCTACAGACCTGCCTCCTGAAGCCACCTTCTCCTGTGGCCCGCCCCACCCCCTTTTTAAGTTTTAAAAGTTCTTTATTTTTCTTTATTTACATTTATTTTTAATCAGCACATAATTGTACCTATTTATTGGGGTGCAGTGTGCAGTGTGGACACGTGTGCAGTGTGGAAAGACCAGATGAGGGTAACTGCCATATCCGTCACCTCCACGTTTCTCATTTCCTGTGGTAAGAAAATTCAAAATCCTGTCTTCTGGGTATTTTTAAATCTGCCGCAAATTATTGTTAACTGGCGTCGCCCCACGCTGCTGTGCAACACCAGCCTCACATCTCACTGTGGCTTTGTTCCTGATCACTCGTCTTTCTCTCTCCCCCTTCCCCGCCCCTTCCCTGGTAGCTACTATTCTTTGTATTTCTATGAGGTCAGCTTATTTAGCTTCCACAAATGCTTGTGGACATGCAGTATTTAGCTTATTTAAGGAAAGGAAATCAGCACGTCGAGGAGATGCCAGCACTCCCGGGTTTACTGTGGCACTGGCCACAGCTGGGGAATCAACCTAGGCGTCCATCAACAGATGAATGAGTAAGGAAAAGGTATATGTACATATCAGGACACGACTCGACCATAAGAAGAAGGGACTCCTGTCATTGGTGGCAATAGGCATGAACCCGGAGGACGTTGTATTTAGTGAAATATGACTTGCTCCTCTTTTGAAGCCTGTAGGGCCAAGAAAAAGCTATTTTTCATCCATCCTGGGGCCCTTCCCTTTGTTTCCAGTTAGAAATTCACCCTGAGCTTCACGTTTACCTCCCATGGGGAGGAACTCTTCAGATTGCAAGACTGAAGGAAGAGCCTCCTAGGTCTCTCTCCCCTCTGCAGAGCGGTTGATGAGAAGATTGGTGTGACATGGGCACTCCTCCCAGCTCCTATCACCAAGCGTGCACTAGTCTGCCATCCCTGCCTTCTGTCCCACAGAGCAGATCTGACACATAACGGAGCCAAATATTTTGCCCTTGGGATGGAGCTAGAGGAAATACCACACTTTCCACTTGGACCGCAGCAGGTTTTCTGATGGAGCAGTTTCCTGGATAATAGAGTCCTGCTAGTATTTTCTAAAGGTATATTGTAATACACTAACACCGAAACATGATGAATAACTTCCTTTTGTATTCAAGATGTCTCTTATTATGTGATCCCTTGGGATCATTTGATTGTTGTTGAATAGCTGGGCAGAGGGTCTGGGTGGCCCACTGTGCTGAAGAGACTCAGGTAATAACTTCAGGCACTAAGGATGCCCCACGGTGGGCAGCTCATGGTAGCCACAGCATTCTTCATCTGAATTTCTTACAAAAGGGAAAAATTTCTAAAAGCTACTTAAAAACATTTGTAGTCGTGGAGGTGGAGATAAAGCAAGCAAAGGAGGCAGGTCGGTGCTTCTTTCACGGGGCAGGTCTCGCCCACTGATTGCCCTTTCCCATAAACTAGCCTCAGGCAGTCAGACAGGTGATGGGAAACCTTAGACTCCTGGACACAGTGTGATTGGGTAAGTGCCCTGGTTACCCGGGCTTGTTCTCTCCACTTTTTCCTAGGGGTTGGGGTTGGTAACTTTGGGAAGCCGAGTGGGAAGGTAGTGGCTTTGAACTGATTTTATTTTTCTCATTTTTGCCTAATAATCATGTTTTTATACATCCTCCCCTGGTTTACGGCCTTTCCTGGATTTTAAAAATGGGTGCTTTTCCTGTTGTTGCTGCCTTATCTCTTCTTTTGAGTTTCCCATTCATACCATTCTTCTGATCATTGTTCTGGTTCTCTGGACTTTTTGCCGCCCCAGAATGACCCAGCTGACTTTTATTATTCTTGGCAATTACTTGCGTTTACCTATTCTCTTTAAGATGTTTTTCTCCTCCCTATTTGTTTTGAACCAAATTTTTCCTTGTGACTTAGTGTGCCTTCTGTTCTTCCCAGGCAAAGAGGTTAAATTTCACTCAAAACACACTGTAGTCTCTCTTCAGACTTAAACAGCGCTGCTGCTATATAATCAATTTTCACAGAATTACAGTTTGGGCTGACACTCTGTGTGTGTGTGTGTGTGTGTGTGTGTGTGTGTTTTAAAGTTACTGTTTGAGTAGAAGCGAGGCTTCTATCATGTCTTAATTATCTTTGGGAAAGAGGAAGCATGCTCATGAACCTCTCATATTATTAATTAATTCATTCATTCATTCATTTATTTGGTACCAGAGATTGAACCCTGGGGCTTTTAGCCACCAAGCCACATCCCCAACCCTTTTTAAATATTTTACTGGAGACAGGGTCTCGCTGAGTTGCTTAGGGTCTTACTAAGTTCCTAAGGCCATCCTCCTGCCTCAACCTCCCAAACTGCTGGGATTACAGGCGTGAGCCACCATGTCCAGCTCTCATATTATTTTATTATGAAATTATTTTTTCCTTAATAATGCAGTACTAGTTGGAGAAGACACATCGGACTTGATTGGATTCTTTGATGACTTTGGATGCTCTAGATGTCACCCGAGAAATCTGGTAGGAAGAGAGGCGCTGGGTGGCTTTAATCACAGCTTCTAGAGGTATGGCCTCACGGGGGCAACGGTTTGAGACCCTGCTATAACAACATTTCCCTGAGTGGTTCATTTACATCAAATTTAAGTGGCTGTTTATGGACTGGGATCAGATTTCTAGCAAGTGTATCAGACTCAGACTCCAGAAATGCTTTATTGCAAACTTCTAGTCAAGAGAAAGATCACTTTCCACCAGAAACATCGTCCAGTGACTGAGGGAGCCACTTTTATTCTGCCTTGACAAATTTGAATAACATTATTTCATGAAACATGAGGGTATGTGGAAATAGTATTTTGAAAATTAAATTCTGCTAATAGCAGATAATCTAAATATGATGGTGTAGCTTCATAAATAATAGCAATAGTCCCCTGATGATTTCATTCCATTCCTAAAATTATGTATCTCTGTTTTCCAACCCACCCTCCACCACATTCTAGGGGGCAAGGTCTTCCTATTGGCAAAAGGAATAGGGGTCACTTTATATTTGGGTCACATTGTATTTGGACATTTGTGACACCTTTTAAAGGCAGCCGTGGTTTCGATGTACACTGTGTACTGTTTTCCTTGAAGCTGGTGAAGTAGACAGTCCTTTCCACTTGTGAGTGCATTTAGATGGGAATAATCCATTATAATCCTGAGCCGGGCATTTTTAACAGAGATCTTTCCTCTCATCCACGTATCCAACCCAAGGCAGCCTTCCAATTTCAAATCCTTTGGACACTTTGTAGAGCTTAGCTTTTTTCTCCATTTGACTCCTTAAATCCTCCTCCTGTCTTGAAATCCCACCCTTGATGGCTCCTTCCAGAACAGCCTGGCCAGCTACTGTCCTGCCTCCCTGACTGTGGATGGCCCTGCCCTCCAGGTCACCTGTGGTTCTTGGTCCTTTTCTCTCATTCTTTCTCCTCTTCCTGGGCAACCACAAGTCCTTTCAAAACTTCAGCTTCTACCCATGTGAAGGTTGGGAATTGGTATTTGGCAGGCCACATCTTGCCTGCGAGGTTGGCTCACATAGTGTTGTTATTGTTTTAAATGTGAGTTTGTTGCCAAGATTTAAAAATTGAAACCAAATCCACAAATCTGGCTTCTCTTTTAAAGTGGGATAAGCTGGCAGTACTGGGACAGGCCTTTGAGCAACTGTCCCTATTAAATGGGACACTGTTTGTCCTGTTTACCACAGACAGCCCTAGTTACTATTCTCTTTGGTTTCTAGACATTGAAGCCTCATATCAGCTGCCATTTTCATTTTATCATGATTATGATACTCAGTTCCATACAACAGAGATAAGAAGAAAAGGAGTCCCCACCACCCCTGTCTCGCTATTCAAATGTAAAAACAAAAGCTGGACCAAGAGTGGACTGTTTCAAAACAATGGGGAAAGAGAATGTGTGCGTACGTGTGTTATGAAAGGGAAAAATATTCTTACATCATTAACATTCAGGGTGTGTCTGAGTTGGTAGGCTACAGTTTAAGGTGCCAGAGTTTATAATTGACATAGATTTTTTTTTTTTTGTACCAGGATTGAACCCAGAGGCCCTTACCCACCGAGCCACACCTCAGCCCTTTTCATTTTTTAATTTTGAGACAGGGTCTTGCTAAATTGCTGAGGCTGGCCTTGAACTTGCAACCCTCCTGCCTCAGTTTCCCCAATAGCTGAGATTACAGGTGTGGGCCACAGCTCTGATGAACAATCTTTATTCTGTCTGCAAACTCAGTTGCCTTTGACCATGTCAGGTTTGACATATCCTCAGGCAGAACACCAGGGATTAGAGCGCTGATCTCTCTGGACTCCATTATTCTGCCCCGTGATAATATTAACTTGCTAAATAGATTAATATTAATCTAGTTTCACTTGCCAATTTGTCCTGACACTTAGGCTGTAATCAGGGCGGTTGTCATACTGATAAGTCAGCTTTCTATCATTATTTTTATTATTGTGATGATGATGATGATGATGATGATGATGATGATGTACCTGCTTCTCCAAATTTATTCCTGCCTCTGGCTAAGGTTGCTCACTGTCACAAACCCACAGCCACGTTTTTATTCCCGACTGCTCAGATAGCCCCTGTCTGGAATGGTGTCTGGAATGGTGCGTTCTGGTTTCTACTCATTCTGGTTGTATTTAGCTTCCAGGTTCTAGTTGAGGCCCTACTTCTGGAAACTTCATGATTTCTTTTATGCTCTTGGCTTCTCTGAAATCCTTTAGCGTTTATAGTCAGTGGCAATGAATTGTGTCATGTTTTATAAATATTTACCTGAGTGAGTGAGTTTTGGCAGAAAGCTTTATGGGTTAGTCGGAAGGGACCCTAAAACAGTTCATTGCCCTTCAGAAGCAAAATGTCTTTCCACTATTTCAAATGCTTATCTGAAATATTGTGTGGTTTTGTTTATTTCAGAGACTTGAAGATAGAAAATTTGCTTCTAGATGAAGACAATAATATCAAGCTGATTGGTATGGCTTTTTTTTTTTTTAAGCAACATTATCTTTTAAGGGTTGTGTTGTGAATTCTCAACTTTGAAAATTATCCATGTTCTTTGTGTAATCCCTAGGTAAGAATTCTAGATTACCTTCTTTTATGTTTAAAAATATTTAATAATAGTTTTGAAAATGAAAATTAATTTTATAGTAATTCAACAATTCATTTAAATAACAGTTTAAACATAATTAGTAAGATAAAAATACTGTAATTTGTGTTGTGAAAATGAATTTCATCGTCCCAAATAAGTATTTGTTGGCCATGTGTTTCTTTGGATTATTCAAGGTTCAGCCTCTTCTGAAATTGAGATGGAGCTGAACTTTTATGAATGTTATTTTTATTCAGATTAATAAGCAAGCATCTTGAAAACAGTTGAAAGGGGGCTGGGGTTGTAGCTCAGTGTTAGAGAGCTTGCCTCGAACATGTGAGGCACTGGGTTCGATCCTCAGTACCACATAAAAAATAAATAAATAAAATAAAGATATTGTGTCCATCTACAACTAAAAAAAATTTTTAAAAATTGAAATTAGTTTGGCTCAGAAATGTAGCCTGTGACTTTGCCATGTTTCATTCCACTTTTCATTGAATCTAGGGATTTCCAAGATAAGCAGAGGTGAAACTTGCTTCTCTTTTGATATAATCTTTATCCAAGCCTCCAAGCCCCATGATACAGTGGTGGCCGTGCAGATGGATGATTAGAATCTGTACCAATTGCAAGGAGACTCCAGGACAGTGCGGGTCAGCACTGGTTCATAATTCAGGATCCACAAGGGAATTTGCTCTGTTGCTCCTTCTCTAGAAGAGTCAAGGCACTTTTGTCTGTTTGTTCAGGTGGTTTGCCGGTGTGGTTGCTCTTGTTTACTTTTGCACCCAGATGTTAGCACCATCTTTTTTCCTCTGTTTTCTCTTTTCCCACCTCAAGTAATTTCGCCTACCCCAATGGCTTGAAAAAGCTTTATGTTAAGAGGAAAGAGAAGGATCGATAGAACTTTGTGAATTTGGGTATTTTTGTACCTAAGATTTTTGTTAAGAAAATGTTGAAAATCGTCTCAAGACTCTCCAAAATATATCACTGAAATGACTTGTTAGATACCTTGGGATCACAGCCAGCTCCAACAGAAGCAGGCAGAGGCTGCAGGGACTCCAGCCCCCTTGGCTGGGTGATTGAGCACCATTGATAGCGGTTGATGGATATACCCATTATTAGGAGATTAACAGTTAAAAGGAAACCGATCCTTTTTCCCCCAAAGCATTTGAAAGCATCTATTCTTAGCAGATTCATAAACCATCCTAAGGATTTTCATTTTGTTAAGTTGTTTTATTATTGCATTTAATTTTCCTGAGGACCAAACAGAAACAGTGAAATAAGACAAGGCCAAATGTCTGCAGGATGTTGTTCTGATCCTGCTCTTGGGGACCCTCAGCCCTAAACAAAGGACCCTCCTGGAGGGAGGTAAGGAATGGAGGAAAGAAGATTTTTAAAAAGGTTTTCTGGAAGGCTGACCTGTATTTTGGAAAATGTGGAGGTGAGAGTACAGAGTTATTGTAACAGCAGAGATTGTGAAGAAAACAGGCTTGGTAAATGCTGGATTCAGATTACAGTAAAAGATTGAGTCACTTCCACTGGGCACTGCTGGGCATCACGGACACCAGGCTGGTGAACCAAGTGAGGAGCAGTCTACCTGTGGGTAGTTTCCAGATCCCAATTGAACATTGCTTGTTCTGTGTCTTTCCTTCACTTTGCCCCCTCTTTCTTCTCCTCAAATAATAGCCCTAGATGACCATGTGAAAAAAAAAAACCACCCCGTGGGATAAGCAATGTTGAAAAGCACAGACCTTTTTATTGATTAGAAGGTTGCTCTGATGTTTCTGGAAGAACCAATCAGCGTAAATTGCAAATGCATTTACAAGTAGCTTGCAGATTGGCTGAATAAGAAAACCTCTTAGAGGAAACCTGTACAGTAATATGAAGCAATTATGTACCTAAATTAGAGCCAGCAGTTCCCGTTTTAGTGAGTTGCTTTTTGGAGACCAGGAACTACTTTACTCGGATCCTTCAGAGGTATCACCTCTCCGCTGGCAACCCCTGCATGGGAACTTAAGCATGTATTCCAGGTCATTGGAATAAACAAAAATAAAGTGAATATGGTTTTCCAGATCTCATCTGTCTGTTTTTGTAATCTGTTTGATTGGGCAGCAGTCCCAACCCAAAATGGTTGTATTTACAGCTAGAGAAAAATGGAAGTGAGGTATGAGAGCCTGATTGGTTGCAGAGCTCGCAACTGTCTTACCTGAACATGGCTTGAACAGTTGGCGGCGTGTGAGTGGCTCAGACTCAGCTCCTTTGTAGAAGAGTAGGTTGCGGTTTGTTTACATGTCTTTAAGGTTACACCTCACTATCTAAGGGAAGCCTTTAGGCCAAACTTAAAATATGCTCACAGGAAGCTGTAAGCCAAACTTAATTCAGCTCAACAGGAGGAAATAGGCCCAGTGCTTGGAAGAATGACCAGATGTTAGAAGCCAGGATTCTAGGATGGCTAGAAAGGAGGCTTTGAAAACTGGGTCTCCCTGTTAGAACTCTTCCATTAGCTCCCAGTTCTCCCATGATCAGCTAAAGAGCCCTGAGGTAACACCTAAAAATGAAAGAGACGTTGGGGCAGCTGGGAATTGCATTCTGTTTAGCACAATCTGTACTTCCGCCCTCCTGAGGGAAGAAGGCCCAGGGTCTTGTGGATTTTCTTGCCTCTGGGTTGGGCAATGCAGATCAAAGTCTCCCCGCTGCCTTTTTGTGTCTGAAAGCCCTTTGAACCTCTTTCCTTCAAAGGAATTACCTGCTTGTTTTTCAAAGGTGATTATAGCTATTATCATTTCCTCTTGGTAGTTAGTAAGTTTCTCTTTCTTTGAAAGAATTTGGTTTAAATAAATCTAGTTAAGCCATGTTTCAAATTAACTAGAATTATCAGGAGTAGCATTTGATTTAATCAGGACTTTTCCCCCTTCCAAAAAAAAAGCAGCCTGGTGTTTGTGAGTTTAATCTTAAAATGGGGAGCCACGGCTCGGAACAGTTTTGTACATATTTCAAAGCAGCATTCACTCGGGTGCTCTTTTGAGATTCATTTTGCAGTTCTCAGGAAATCGAGTGATAATTGGCTTATGTATTTACCAAATCTAATTGAGGCAGACCTGGGTGACATTACCGGGAGGCGGACTTCTCTTTAGCTTCACGATTCTAATTATAGGCATATGTGTAAAATTTTAATAATTTCAGTTACAAATGTGAAACACGCTGGCTGTTCCTCTGCAATGCATTTTAGTTAAATCAACTTTTAGCCAGACCAACACAAGTCACTTAAAAGGTAGGTTCTGTTCCTTCCCTCTACTCCCCAAACCCTCTGCTAATTTATCTTCTTGAAACTGCTTAAGATAAAGCCAGACTTTTAACTTGCCTGGACAATGCAGGGTGATCTGGTCTCTTATCTGGTCTTTCCCACCCTTTTTTATATCCCCAGATCAGGGGTGTTAAGAAGTGAACTGAATGAAGGAGGCAGCCTTTTGCTCCGGGAACCCTGCTGATTAGAAACCCAGGCTTTTGCTTTAATCTCTGAGATTTAGGGAGAGATTCTCTGAGTCACCTATGATGAGATTGGGCCTTTAATGTAACAGTACATGAAGCTTTCCTTAAAATGTCACCCCCAGTAAGACTACCGTCTTTATTCTGTGGTGGTATTTCTATAGTAGATGCCCTTTGGCAATGAAAGAATCCTCCAGTGCTAAACACGATATGATTTTTCTTCTTAGAAAAATACTCACCCTTCTTGCCTGGCGTGGTGGTGCATGCCTGTAATCCCAGTAACTCTGGAGGCTGAGACAGGAGGATTGCAAGTTTGAGGCTAGCTTCCGCACTAACCCCATCTCAAAATAAAAAATAAAAAGGGCTGGGGATGTAGTTCAGGAATAAGGTGCCCCTAGATTCAATCCCCAGTGCCCAAAACTAAACCAAAACCATAAAAGAACAAAAACAAAACGAAAAACACCCTTCTACTGTTTCAGAGATATTATAGTCTAGGACACCAGGGTCTGAAAACAGGGTCTATCAGGTTCTTTGTAATAGACCGCTCCTCCTAAGATGGGAACCCAGGGACCCTCCGTGCCTCCTGAGGGGCTTTTCAGTCTGTGGTGTCTCCTGGTGTTTGTTGGGGCTGCTGGAAAAGGAAGTGGGGCAGGATGTGGGTGGGGGTGGGAAGACCAAGGGAGCAAAGAAAGGCAGCAGGAGGAGGATAAGACAGAAAACTCAAACTGGAGCCAAAGGAAACCAAAGACCTAAGTGTTCAAACACGCAGCCTCCCTGGTTGGTTCCTTGGCCAATTCCTGTTGCACGCTCTTCCTCTGAGGGAGCCAGGAGATGATCTTCAGGGCCTTACAGGGTTTTGGAGCCCTGATTGGATGGGGTTCTTTCTACAAAGGCTGGTTCATTGCACAGTGGAATCCAGTGGCAGCTGGGGGACCTTTAAGTCATGTCATCTTGATTCACAGTGTGGGGGGATCTTGGTGGGCGCCCCTGTGCTGAGTCTCTTTTCCAGAGCCTTCCTACGGCTTTCTTCATCACCGTGCTCTTTGCTGGTGGAGGCACGTTGTGGCATGTAGGGGGAACACAGGCATGAAACTCGGTGCCAGTTGAGAAAGTACCAGGGTTTTGTTCCAGACCCGGAGCCAGTCTCCAGCGGAGCCCCTGCAGCCTGCAGTGCTGTGTCTCGGGGGTAGGGCCGAAACATTTAGACTGAAGTTCAAAGGAGGAACCGTGATCTTAATTCTGAGATCAAAACAAAGATTGAGGAAAGATCAGGCGAGGGCAGGACACTAACAGCTCTCTAATTACCTGGCAGTTGTCTGTCTTGAAGATCAAACGGCAACAAGGCTCAGAAGGCGTAATAGACCCAGAGTTGCTTCAAATGCCCTGGGCTTGCCTCTGCTCGGCCCAGTTCCCCACCTCATCCAAGAACAAAGCCATGCCGTGAGGTCACTGGGTCTAGTTTGCATCACATCTGGACAGCATCCTTTTCCCAGCCAACGTGGAGCGCTGGCTCAATTGCTGGCTCCATTTTTTTCCCTCTTCAGATCCCTGTAGGTGCCACATACATTAGGGAGGAATTTGCAAAAAGACTTATGAAATGAAACATTCTGCTGAAGTCAGCCGTCAATGGCGGGATCGCATGTCACCGAGGGTGACGCCAACGACCAGCCAGAGAAAGCCCGTCCTCCTCCAGCCTTCCCCTGCTTGGCCCCTCGGAAGCCAGAACGTGGACTGCAGCCTCTTGGCCTGTTCTCGCTTCCTGCCTTAGTCCTAGAAAGCACACCTCTGCTTTCCCCGATGACTCATTTACAAGACTTGTTGGAAATATGTTTTGGTTCCACACGCTGTGAACTGTATCTGGATTTTATGGTAGGAAGGGTGGAAAATGTTCAGCTCAGCAAGGGAACCGCCACCTGACGCTCCTTTGCCCTGAGTCTCCTTATCCAGAGGCTTTCCTTGTGGGATGCTAAATGACACGTTAGCCTCAGAGACTGTTTCCTTTCCTGCTATTTATGCAATTATTTTCCTCCTTTCTCCCCTCCCTCCTCATGTCCACATTTTGCTAATGCAGAGGCGATTCTATCCTCTCCTCTTTGCAGACTTTGGCTTGAGCAACTGCGCGGGGATCCTGGGCTACTCCGATCCGTTCAGCACGCAGTGTGGCAGCCCCGCCTACGCCGCACCAGAACTGCTGGCCAGGAAGAAATACGGCCCCAAAATCGACGTCTGGTCCATGTGAGTGATGGAGCGTGTACAAGTCAGTGCTCCCTCCTGCTGTCTCTGCTGTTCTTCTCCGATGAGATAATTCTTTCGTATTTGCTGAGAATGTGTTTAGGAAAGGTTCTGGAACATGTCATCAGTGATTCTTTGGAACCTGGCTTTTCTTCTCTGTTCCTTCTAGTCTTTTCTGCATAAACTGCCAGAATGGCCATTACCTAAATTCATTAAGATGCTGGGGAGAGAAGAAAACCAGGTCCTGCACTCACGGACCTCACACTCTGGTTGCACGAGCCACTTAGGTCCTACTTAAGATCCAGCTGTGACTTTCCGAGCATAAAGCCTCATCTCACTTCTGCCTGCTTCTCTGGCCTCTCTGAGCCCTACCTCGCCCTCCACCCAGGATTCCTCAGACATTCCACCACCCTTTCACCTTGTCCACCTCTGGGGTTTGCACCTGCGATTTCCTGTGCCTAATCTGCTGTTCCTAGCTCTTCAAATGGCCCACCTGTCCCTGCATTCCAGCCATAATCCAACAGCCCCCCTGCCACACTCTCCAGCACCCTGCTGGAGGACCCCGGGCTCTCCTCACCCTGTTCATTTCCTCTTTCACACCTGTCCCTGCCTGTCATTTCCTGATTCACAATGAAGGTCTGTCTCCGCCAGTCAGAGGGGACGGTTCTGGAACAGTTGGGGAACCCTTTATGTTCAGTAGAAGATGGTGGAGGGTAGAGTTTGTGAATGAGTAAATAAATAGATGGGACTCTGGGAACCTGAGATTGCAGCAGAGCCTCCGAGGGTGTCCTGTGACTGGGGACAGGGAGACCTGATGACCAAAGAGAAAGAGAGGTTGGTAGGTTAGGGAGCAGGGGACCTAAGGGGACGGTCCCTGCTGTGTGGTCTCTAATTCTCAGACTGAAGCGGCTCGGCCTGAGGAAGGGGACCTTTTCTAGACTGTGTCAGGTGAAGCAGGCATCTCCCCCAAGTCTAGAATGTGAGCAGGAGGAAGGGCCGCAGGAGGCACCCAGGCTGGGCCTCCCGACAAGAGGCACAGCAGGCTTTGTGCTCAGCCTGGGACTTCTGTCTCCTCCGCTCACTGCGACATGGAAGTGAATCAGTTATCTGTCTGGAGGGAGACGACAGGAGATGAAAAGCCCCAGCGGCAGAAAGGTCAGACTTTGTTCTTGCTCCTCCTGCCAGGTGGCTTGACCGGGGAAAAGAGTTCATTTTTAGTAACCACAGACACTGTGTTTCTCCGCTTCAGGCCCATGATTAAAAGAAAGCAGCCTGCTCCTCCGTGAAGGCTCTTTCCAACCCACGTGGCCCCTTGCCACCTTCTCTGTCTCTGTCCATTAAGCAGAAACAGTGACTCTACCTAGAAGGAATGGTGGCATCCGCTGAGAGGGACAGAGATGATACCAGACCCGGATGCCTGGACACTCTGGGGTCTGTTGCTTCCAGCCAGGGAGCAGTTCACTTCCCTCCCAACCCTGGCTCCTGACATGGTGGGGTCACTCCTGGGGCAGCTGGACATTTCCGAGTTCCCCTGCTTTATTGCATTGTTTTTCCTCCAAGAAGGTAATGCACAGCTGCAGGTGCCCAAAAAAGCTCTAAGAGGTCACATTCTTAGTCCTGGTGAAATACAGTCATGTATGCAAAAGTCCTAGACAAGTGGCAAAATACCATGTGGTTTTCCAGTTCGTGGAGGCACACACGAAAGCAGAAAATATGTAGAATTGCATTTATGTGAGAGGGCAAACTCAAGGGCACGCGACCTTTCCAGGTGAATCTCTCATGTTTGCTAATGTCCCATTTGGCCAAGCCAGTTGAACCAGTAGGCTTTAAGTCAGGAGGAGAGGTAGACCTCACTCCTTGTTGAGGTGTGGCCAAAAACTGTAGCTTTGCATATGTGTGTGTGTGGGGGTGTGTGTGTGTAGGTGTGTGCACGCGCACGTGCGCCTGCGTTGTAAACACTTACCTACCTCTATGAACTGAGTTGTACCCTCTACTCTCAATTTATATACTGAACCCATAACCCTCAATGTGGTGATATTGGAGATGGGGCCCTACATAGTTAATTAGGTTTAGATGAGGTCATAAGGTGGGGCGCCATGATGGAATTAGTCCTTATAAGAGACACCAGAGAGCTTGTATTCTCTGTGCCTTGTGAGGGGACAGAAAGCTAGGAAGATCATTCTCACAAGAATCCAGCAGACTAGGAAGAGGGTTCTTTCCAGAGCCCAACCTTACTGGTACCCTGATCTTGTGCTTATAGCTTCCAGAATTGTGAGAAAACAGATGTCTGTTGTTTGAGCCAGCCAACCTGTGGCATTTTGTTATAGCAGCCTATGTTAGTCAGCTTTTTATACTATAACAAAATATCTGAGATCATTAACTTATAAAGAGGAAAGGTTAATTTCGGCTCACACTTTTGGAGGCTCCAGGCTATGATTAATGGGCTCTGTTGCTTTGGGCAGTAGCGATGCAGCAGATTACTGTGGGCGCATGTGGCAGAGCAAGACTGCTGACGTCATAAGCCAGGGAGCAAAGAGAAAAGAGGAAGGGACAGAGTCTCACAGTCTTCTTCAAGGATGTACTCGCAATGACATTAGTACCTCCTCAAGGTCACCTCCCAATAATACCACCCTGGGGACCAAATGTTTAGCATATGGACATTTGGGGGACATTTATTCAAGCCATAATATCATCCAAGCTATCTGAGGTAGCTACTTGCTTGTGAGTCTTAACTGTATACAAATACAGTGTGTCAGGTGGAGCAGAGGAGCAAACACAGGTGTACTTCTGGGATAAGTCAAGAAAGCATCAGAGGAGGCTTCATCTGCCTTTGCGGGATGAGTGGAGCTGGCCAGGTGGAGAAGGAGAGAGGATGCCTTCCAAGTAGAGGGTACAGCGTGTGCACAGGCCAAGAGGTTACGGGACATCCAACTACCAGAGCGCTTCATCTTGGTGAGAATCAGGACTTCAGAGCTTCTTTAAGAGATTGATTTTCCACTGCCTTAGGGTATTGTGTCTGAGATACAGGTAAGGCTTACCATTTGGTGCCCACAGCTTTGCTGACAGAATTGCAAATGGAAAACCCAAAGAGAATTTAATTTAAAAGCCTATTTAAGACAAAAGCAAAAATGGAGCCAATTTTCTCCCTGGGTTAGACACTGTTGTTATGAAATATCTTCTCTTTTCATTGCTCTGAAACAACAACAGAATGAAGAGTTCCCTTCCAAGATCAAAATTCCCCTGTACAGAGGTTTTAGATTCTAGTGGCTGACAGGGACTTATTCTAAGACCTAAGTGGAACACTGACTCAGGAGGAAAACCAGCCTGCTATGCCAGGGAACCTCGGGAAGCTCTTTCCCACACGTAGGGTCCCTGGAACACTTCTAGTGAAACAGGAGTTAACTAGGGAAATGGAAATGTGCTCTTCCTTAGAGGTTTTCCATTATTTTCAGGACCATAAAAATTATCCTTAAAATTACTCACTTTTTTCCTTTACTTCGGATAAATAAAACACACACAGACACACACACATACACACACACACACAATCTAAAATCTCCATTGAACTTTGAGACTTTACCCACAAAACCAAGATTTTTATGCTGGTGCATCAAATCTTTACTGTTGCTAATTGATCTTTTTCTAGAATGGTATATATGCTAATTTAAAAAATTTTAATGCAGATATACTTTTTGGTTGAAAAGAATCAAAATTAACTTTTTGTTTAGAATATGACAAGGCTTGTTTAAGAATATCTGTGAGCCTCTTAGGGTAAAGACATTGGACTGTCAGAATTCTGTCCCAAAGAATGGAGACTGCAACCTTTCATACATTGGAGCTGCTCTTTGCTGTCCTGGGGGGTTTCTGGAATGGATGGAGCATTGTGTGAAGGCAGAGTGCCTCATGGAGAGTCATGCATGTCACACCCAAGTCACCTCCTTCGATTACTGAATTTATTTTCGCTGAGTGAGAAAAAAATCTCTGCCAGGCTCCCGCGTCTTTGAGTAGATACATTGACCGAGAGGCGCCATCTTGTTTGTTCCCAGGTCTCCCATCTCCATGAGAACTGGACACCCAGGATGCAGAGTGAGAGAATTTATTTCAGGCCTCAGACTCAGTGCTTGGTAAAAGTACTATCAGATACCATCAGCTATTAGCAGGAATCAGGTGTAGAAGGATTTTTTCCTCCCCTCACACTCCCTCAAAATGAAGGACGGATGGAGAAGGAGGTGGAAAGAGACTTATGCTGCTTTTGGAAAGTTCAGGGCTTTTGACTTTTAAAAGTTATAAAAAGTCTGAAAGCTTTTGAGCTTCCAAAGTTATAAGACCCCAGCCTCCCCTCCCTTTTTGCAGCTCACATGAGCATTTCAAATAGAAGAGGTGAAGGGGGATAGGAAATGGAAACACAAGTCTTGAAACCCACAAGAAAATCCATAGAGCATTTATGGAGCAGGATTGAAAAGTGAGATTATCTAAAGAGATGGATCTGTTCCTCTTCTTCTTATAAGACCTTAAATTGAAAGTTGTATTATTGAAAATTGATAGTGAAGAATGGAAGGATATTGCTTTCAGGTGGAGTATATTCTCAATTTTCCAAGGAGGTTCCTTCCTGGAAGACTCACAGAAGCAAGGTGTCTGTATCTGGGAGCTTCTCTTAGCTGCGCTCCAGCTCTCTCTGGGTGGTTGTTGAGACTCCTTTCTGTGTGCCCTGTGGGGACACGGGATCTGTTCCTTCCAGTGCAGTGCTGCCAGTTGCTCTGTCCCTTGCATCTTGGTACAGTTTCTGGAGGCTTATCCAGGGAGCAGCGAGTCTATGTCTTTCCTCTCTGGGATGGCAGTTTTACCCCAGATTTTCCTTCAGGAAATGTCTTTGTGTCTCGACTAAACACCAGGACCACCATGTAGCTTCTGACTTAACTTCAAATATTCCACATTTGTGCTTCATGGGGCCCCTTTCCTTCCTTCAGTCCCTTAACCTCACTCTTTCTCCTTCAACATCAGAGGATTCCACTGTCCAGTCTCCTTTGGGTTTTTTCCCATCCAACAATGACTCACCCATATTTCTTTCTGCTTGGAAGCATGCTAGTAGTATTAGCTGGTTGATCTCCCTCATTCCTGTCTCTAATTATTCCCTTTCTTCAAAACTATCTTCGATTCTTAGGAGTCCCATGTCTGCCACAGAGAACCTAGAAAGCCCCTGAGCCATATTTCAAAGACCCGTCAGGAAATTCTGAACATGTTTGGAAACTCCTCCTAATTCCATGGGATTACAGAGGTTTATCAACTGCATTCCATGTTTCCCCTTGGTATTTCTGCACACTTGTCAAACGTCAAAGGGACTACATTTCTCTTCATCCAGACATGAAACATGTTTGAAACTCCAGGGGAGAGGAATTCTGATGCCCAGTCTGGTGGTTTCCTTTTTGACATGTAGAGCTTTCTGACTACTAATGTAGGTTTCCATTATTATTTGGCTACAGGACACAAATATAATGTTTCCTGTTGTTTTTTAAAAGATTTTTTAAAAAATGAAGCCACAGATCACATGTACTGAGCACTTAATTTTTACCAGGCTCAGCGTTTGGTTCTCTCTGTGGTTTCCTTTGTTTGACCTCCATTTGACCTGGGAGGTAGGTGCCATTGTTATTCCCGTATTTTAAATGAAAGACTCTGGGATAAGAAAGTTCTTTCTAAGGATTGGTGATGATTGACTCCTCTAAAAGAAGTAGAATTCTGGTGTCAATTTGGTAATCAAGTGTTTCTATAGAAACCACTTGCTGGACCCTGGTTGGAGCTCCCTGGAACCATCTTTTGAGACAGCATCTGTCACCTTTATCTGTGGCCCAAGCCAGACAACAGAGAGGCAAAGACAACTGTCGTAGGCAATGACTGGAGATTCAGTCATCTTTAGAAGCCATTCAGTGACAAGGAGGCAAGCAGTTTGGCACCTCCAGGTCTCCTTAAAGAAACTTTCATGGAGCTTTAGAGCGGGCCCCATACACTCCCCAGACCCCTTCAATTGGGTTCCTCCCCATGGCCACAGCATCCTGCAGGTTGGATCCACTCCACCCATGACAGGAAGTCACGTGACCCCTAAAGACAAAAGGGCATATAAAAGGTCTTCAAACTTTTGAGTAGTGCACACTCTCTTTTTAAAGGAATGATGTTCTTGATCACCTCACCTGTCGACTTAGGTTATTTTTATTTAAATGTTACTTACAAGTTCATGAATCCAGAATCAAACTCCTCTGCCCAAACCAAAATTTACAAGTTAAATATGACTCGGACTAAAAGAACCCCCAAGTTTTCCAAATAAGCAACACTAATGAGACGCAGTGGTGGATGGTCCGCGGTGCTGAGTTGTTGAGTGCAGTCTCCCTGCTGGCCTCAGTTCTCCACCACTTTTCAACTTCCGATGGCTTTCAAACCTGAGTGTGCAACAGAAGCACTCGGGAGGTTACACCACAAGCTCTTGCTGATGCTGCAGAAGTGGGGGACACCCTTTGGGAACCACTGCACTATTCCAGCTGCCAGGAATAAATATATCTTTTCCACAGATATAAGCTCAGAAGCCTCACTTCTGCTCTGTTCCCATTAGACTGTGACCATGAAAGGGATATGTTTTGGTAAAAATTGTGCATCTTTAAACAGCCTTGCCAAAGCAGCACTGAAATTCTGTGTACAGGGGAGGGTCTTGGTTATGTGATAGTCCTGTTGGTGCCCTGGTTCTGGTTTACAAAATGTTTGTGTGTGTGTGTGTGTGTGTGTGTGTACGCGCGCGTGTACATCATCAAAAAGAAAATCAAAATAAGAACTGTTGAACCCCAGAGAACATGCCTGTGTACCTCAATTTCAGAAGCACTGCTTGGGTGGGACATTATAAGACACTGATCTAAGTACCACCAGCCTCTTTAGCTTTAGTGTGAAGGTTGGAGACGAGATGCACGCAAGTGAGCAGGGGTAGAATCCTTTAAAAACATTTCTATTTTACTTTTATTTTTTGCCCTTAAGTTCAATTCAATCAAATTCTGTTGCCAGATTAGGAATTTGTTCTACAGCATGAAAACTTTAAAATTCATTAAGTACATGAACCAGCTGGTGTGTTTTCAGGGCAGAGAGCCAGATTGTGGATGGGACTCTAAGCCATGGCACATGAAGCACAGGCAAAGGGCCTGGGGTGGGGAGGTCCTGATTCCAGCTTTCAAACGTGTCAAGTGCTGACCACGGAAGAGCAGCTGATCTTGTTCCAGAACTGAAGATGGGGGATGTCGACCTTGGCCTAGTGTTGGAAGCCCTTCCTCCTGCAGAGCTGTCCTAAGTGGATCAGGATGCCTTAGGGAGGGTGGGTGCTTGCCCTTGAGGCTGTTCAGTGCTTCCCATCAACTTTCTGGGATGTGCTAGAGGGTTACATCCATTAAAGCCTCTTCATATTTATAAATTTTGAATTTTTCTGCTAAGTTTTTTCTCTTACCAAAATCTCCAAAAATTCTTCAAGGTAAAGGTGTTTGGTTTTATCTTAAACCTATCTTAAATGCAGCATTGTATAGTAGGTTCTCGAACGTGTTTCCAACCCTAACGCTCCTTCCCTCCACCCCCAAAATTGCTCTCTCAGCCTCCTCTGTTTTCCCTCTGTGGCCACCGTAGCAGGTGTCCCATGATGGCGGTTTTGCGTGTCCCCTTCAGATGCTGCTGATTTGCTTTCTCTGTCTATTCTGTGCCATTGTTTTCCTTCTGACATCAATGGTGATTCACTGCCTCTGCGGCCAGTCTCCTGCTCCCCATTCTGAACCCCTTTAATCCATTTACAGGAGAGGGCTACTCCCCACTTTGGCCCTCATTTGTGTTCATTTCGCATCTGTGCATATCCTGAGCAGTGAGATTCGTTGAACCCACAGTGAGAATTGCTGCTGTAAATGGCTGCCTTGTCTGTTCTCATCTCCATTTCTTGATTTATGCCATTCCTCTCCCCCTCTTCACCTCCAAGCAGCCAGAGATATTTACAAATAGAAGCTCATTCCCTTGGTACTCACCACCCTGGAGGCCTCCCTGTCTTCCGGTGCCTGTGGGTCTATCCTTCCTCTCCCTTCCTTGAACTACTGCTAGTGGCCCTCAAAAGCAGCTCAGTTCAGCATTTTCTTATTTCCTGTGCACTTGAAAGGATGTGCTTATTTATTTGTGTATCCAAGTGCCTGCTTCTCCCCAGCCCCAAATCCAAGATGGCGACATCCTTCTTGGGTACCTATAACCCTGTGTGGGCAGAGAGGCATCCGGCAGGAATTTGAGGAATGAACATTTGTGTAACTGTCTCCCTCACTCCGCTGTGAGTTCAGAGCAGGAACTGCCTTTTACTTGTGTGTCTGAAATTTGAGAATGATTTCCAGTCAGAGCCCGTGGGCTCTGGTACCTGTCATTATCTGGAATGCCATAATTCAGAGGCGCCTCTGTGGAATTAGGCCTCAAGGGTCTTAATTTCAATCAGTCTCATCGGATTTGTTTTGACTGGCAATCCTACTGCCTGTTTTTAAAACATACTCCCCTGGGTGCTTTTGAACGGTGGAGACCTCTTGGCAGGCAGGCATTTCATCCCCTTCAGGAAATCTCATCAAAATGATATTAGGCTTGCACATCAGGAAGATAAAAACCCTCTGAGAAGATGTTGCTATTCTCTAGATTGGCTGTGGATATCAGCAGTTAAGCCTACTCAGAAGGTATTTTAACTGTAGCTGAGGTTTTGGGCCAGCGCTGGGTGACAGGGTCTCACAATAAGGAATAAAATAAGAATGGGGGTGGAAAGGAGTTTCCTCTAGTGAGAAACCAAAGAAAAATTCAAGAGAAGAGCAACACACTGGTTTTCCAAGGGCTGATTGTTAACCTGGTTTCAAAGGCCTGGTTGGTAACCTGGTGAGCTTATGGATCTGGGTGCTCACAGGCAGGTCTTGCCCCGGATGTTTTGGTCTGCCTGGCCACTTGTAGATTCCACCTTGTAAACCACACTTGGACAATTGCATCGTGGCAGGACCACTTCTGAAATGCTTGAGACCTGAATTTTGGGGATTTGGGATATTTTCCAGATTTTAGAATCTTTGCATGTACATAATGAGATATGTGGGGGATAAGGCCCAAGTCGAATCACTGAATGGATGTTTCATGTCCACTGAAGGTAACTATGCCACACGTGTAGTGAACCTGTGTTCTGATTGACCTGTCACATGAGATCAGAGGTAGGGTTTCCACTATGGTGGCAAATTGGGGCTCGGTAAAGTTTCTGAGTTTGGAGAATTTGGGAGGGGGTTCCCATTAGGGATGCTCAACCCATTCATGTCAGAGAGTAGAGAGGGATGTGGTTTCCCCTCCTGAGGAGGCAGATCTGGAAGTTCTTTACGCTCCTTTTCATCTCTGGAGTCCTGACCTCCCCAGAGCCCTTCAGTGTGGGTGCTTTGACATGGTGCTGCGGGTTCTAGAAAGATGACCGGGAAAGAGAACTGTGGAAGTAACATCATAGAAACTAACATCATGGAAGTAACATCATGGACTAAGCCTGTGTCCTCTTTGTCCTCCGCACCTGGGGCCTCACCCTGGCCTCACGCTTTGGTGTCTCTTTTCAGAGGTGTGAACATGTACGCCATGTTGACGGGGACCCTGCCTTTCACGGTGGAGCCGTTCAGCCTGAGGGCTTTGTACCAGAAGATGGTGGACAAGGAGATGAACCCCCTCCCCACCCAGCTCTCCACAGGTAACTCACCTGCAGCTCTGGATTCAGGGTTGCAGGACCTTGGTTCTGACTGGCCTGGGTCCATTGGTGAAGCGGCATTTTGTCTTGCAGGGATGCTGTCATGGCTGTCCGGGGAGTGTAAGTGTCTTCCCACTGTTTAGTCTCCAGGGGAGGCTGGGGTTCCCCTCTCGAGCAGCCCCTCTTCTCATCTCACCTGTATCCTCTCCATTTCTGTTGGAATTCCAAAGCCCTAACTCCTTCCTTCTAAACAAGACACACATATCCAAGAATCTTCTGTTCTCCACTTGGAAAATAATTTCAGGCTTCGTTGTTTTAAATCTCTCCATGTCATCACGTTGGCTTGAAGAAGAGGGTCTGTCATCGTCCCATTTCTATTATGTTTTCCACAGTCTGTTCTTGGTTTCAGTCACGTTGTTTTGTTTTGGGAGTTTTTGAGCCTGTTCAAAAGCTCTTAATGTATGTGGATGGGTTCAGTGACTTCATTAGACTGACTCATCAGGTGTGTTAGAAAAGTACTCTCAGACTTTGGCTGGTTCACATTTCTGTAAACAGTTCATATTAAGGTTTGGTTTCTGAGCCTGTGAGTTAGGACAAATTGTTCTTTTGTTTGGTTCAAAGTTCGTATCAAGTTCCTGACCTAAGCTTGGCTTTGGTGATCCTTTAATTGTTCCCTTGGAATCAACACAGCTTCATTGGGAGGTTGCTTGTGACACCCCCAACCCCTCCCCCTCCACAAAGTAATTTTTAAAATTCAACTGTGATACATGGTTAAAATGGCATTTATTTTACTACTGTTAGGTGTTTTTGTTTTTTTTCTTGAGTTTATAAAGCATCCATGAAGCTGACCTTGAATTCATGCTTGCCCAGTGGAATCAAAGCTGAAATGAGTTCTCAAAGGTCCTTTAAAAAGATTTTTTTTTTTTTTTTTGTGATACAGGGGCTTGAACCAGGACCTTGTCTAGGCTAGGCGAGTGCTCTAGCCCTGAGCGGCACCCCCGCCCTGAAGTGAGTTCTTGTATGCAATCATGAACTCAGGCCACACTGTCACCTTGGTGAGGCAGGGTGGAATCCCTGGAGGTTGCAAGCTAGTAAAGGAGGCCTTCCATCCTTGGGAAGATATGGTCCAGTTCTGTCTTCGAAAAGAAACATTTCTGCTTTGAGAGCTGTTAACTCTTAGAGGTAGAAAATGTGCAAAATGGTGAAGGAATGATTATGTGTACTTTTACAGCTTTCAGAAATTTGGAAAGTGCTGCAGAGCACCATGGGGAATTCTCATTCCTTCATTCAGTGCATATTTCATTGATTCACTTTTTTTTTGTGAACATGTATTATGCACCAGTTGTGAGCTGGGCATGTAAGTGCCAGTAACACAAGAAACAAAGTCTCTGCCCTTATAGAACTTATACTGATTTCAATGAGTAAGGGCAATAAATAAATAAATATATATATATATATATATATATATATATATATATATATATATATACACACACACACACACACACACACATACGTTTAAATTGCAATATTTGGTAGCATAAGTGCTTTAACATAAAATCAGCATAAGGGGATAGAGAGTAAAGGGGATAGTTTTTATTAATAAGATTTCTAAAAAATACTTTTCCTTGTGTGAGCTGAGTTTGTGGCTTAGTGGTAGAGTGTGTGCCTAGCATGTGTGGTATGAGGCACTGTGTTTGATTCTCAGCCCTGCATGTAAATAAATAAATAAAGTAGAGGTCCATCAACAACTAATAAGAATATTTAAAAAGAAATTTTCTTTGTGGCATTATTCCAGATTCACGATTGTAAGAATAACACGGAGAGGTTCATATAGCCTTCATTCAGTTTCCTCCAATGGCAGAACCTTGGATAGTGGTAGCATGATATCACTACCAGGAAATTAACATTGATAAAATCTATTGGCCTTATTCAGATTCCACAGGTTTCACAGGCTTTCATGTTCGTGTTGGTGCGTAGTTAGTTCTATGCAATTTCATCACAGAGGTAGGTTCATATTATGGCCACCACAGTGAAGAGACAGCACAGTTCCATCTCAAGAATCCCTGGTGTGGTCCCTCTATAGTCACTGCTCCTCCCTCCCTCCCGTTCTCCCTGCCAACCACTGTCCTGTTCTCCATATCTGTCACTTTGTCATTTCAAAAATGCAATATATGTGCGTGTGTTTATGAATGTGTATATGTGTGTGTGTGTACGTGTGTATACATATGTCACTTTTTGTTCACTAAGCATAATTCCTTTGAGGTCCATCCAAGTTGTTTCATGTGTCAGGACCTTGTTTCTTTCTGATGCCGAGTAGTGTCCCTGGCATAGATATATCAAGGTTGGTAACAGTCACCCACTGAAGGACCATTGGGTCATTTACAGTTTGGGGCTGTTATGAGGGAAGCTGCTGTAAACATTCACATGCAGATGTTTGTATGGATATGATTTCACTTCTCTGGAGCAAATGCCTAAAACTGAAATTTTTGAGTCAGATAGTAAGCACATGTTTAGTTTTGTAAAAAACTGCCACGCTCATGTTCAGAGTAGCTGCACCATTTTGTATTCCCTCTTGCAACCTTCATTTATAGCAACATTATATAGTCAACGAATGTTGCCATCTCTCAGGGTGATTTGGAAGTGACTCAGATGGTTTGGAACTTGCTTTGACCATAACACAGTACAGTAGCAATGTGTTTGCACTGCATGCCTGGAAAAGGCAGGCAGTGCTCACTCTGAATCCCACTGAGAGCCTGAGCAGATGGAGAACTGCTGATCTGCTGCCTTCTCACTGTATTAGTCAGGATAGGCCAGGTTAAGCTTCAGTAACAATCATCTCCCACTCCCGTTCTTAGAGACTTGAGATCATGAAGGTTTATTTCCACTCATGCTATATATCTGTTAAGAGTTGGATCAAAGATTGAAGGGCTCTGCCCTCCTATAGCCCCAGGCTAGTGGAACAGCTGCCATTCCAAGATTATTGGTCCATGCAGAGGGAAGCAGGGAAAGAGGTGTTTCACCAAAGGTATTTCACCAGCAATAAAAATCTCCTGCAGTGTGTCCCTTCCACTTAAACCTCTTAGCTTTCTAAAGCATGGCACATAACTTCACTTAGGAAATGAGGTGGAACAGTGCCACTGTACCATGTGTATTGAAGGTGGGAAGCCAAAGAGATTTGCCAGGTGCCTTAGTGTGAGACACACACAGGCTGTGGCAGGAGGACTGGCAGTTCAGCCTACTTTCATCATGGGCCTGGGCTGGGCAGCCACACAAAGGCAAGTGGGTTAAGAACACAAGAGAATCAGTCTCATTACTTCAGAGACGTGCCATGTTTTCCCTCCCAATACCCTTGCCCACCTACTAAGGCTGGTTTCTAAGTATTTTTTTTTTAATTGGGAAAATTAAATTTTTCTTTAAAAAAGTAAAAAAATACCCACTAGAATCAAAGTGTGGAATATGATATGTCAAGAAATTTGTAATGTTTTGAACAACCCACAATAAAAAATTAAAAAAAAAAAATAAATAAAAAATAAAAAGACAAAATGGCCGGGCACAGTGAAAAAAAAAAAAAAAAAAAAAAAAAGTAAAAAAATGCACACTTTGAAATGTTAAGAAACACTCTAGAGGTAATTGCAGAGAGGAAATATTGAAACCTTTCCAAGTGCTTTCAGGGTCACTGGAATTGGTGTCTCACTTTGTGACTTCACATGGCTCCTGCTTTGAGCAGAGAGCTTTTTACTTGGACCCTGTGCACAGCTCGTGAGCGTGCCTGTTAAAGAGCCTCATGTTTCTACAGGACTTTATTTTTTTGACTTGTCAAGCATGAATTGCATTTCTAGATCTGATTTTCCAGTTAAGGAGTCTGGTTTCCCTTTTCTGCTTTTAAAACTATTGGTATACATAAGGAACTCAACCAGGGCCTAATCCTCTACGCCAGGTGTCAGGTGTAGGGTTTGCCCACGGTTGATGCTCAGGGACTCTATGCTGCTGCCTCTGGATTTAAAGTGCATGTGTGGCCTGGGCAGACAGCCTGCTCATTCATTTGACTACTCAGGGCTGGGAACTGGCCCTTTGCAGAAGGGTCCAGCACCAGCTGCTAGGTAGCCCCGGGCATCATCTATTGTTTATGGACTGAAGGACTCGGGCTTTGGGCATCAGCTGCTGTCCTCATTGTCCCTGTTTTTCCAACCCGTTGCACCCCACCTGGTTTATCTCCTTTCCCTTCCAACCAGCCCAGCTCACCTGTACCTGTAACTTCCAGGAAGACCAGTTTACCCTAAAAAAGAGTAGTTGCTGTTTATGGAATAACCGTGCATAGGTGTTTTTCACATTTTTTTCCCCACTCAACCTCTGTGGTGAGTACCATCATTCTCAATTTACCAACGAGGAAGCCGAGTCTCGGGGGGATCACATCTGCCTGCCTGGCTTCTAGATTTTGCCACTGTATTGTGCTATTTTCATTTCCTTATTTTATTGAGTATAAGATGCCTCCCCTCCCTAAGATTTACTAGTATCTAGTGCCTGTAGGTCTTTGTGCTTTGAGTAATGTCAATCCAGATTGAAAATACGTCAATTTGATCGTGCCTCGGTAACACACATTTTTATTAATTTGACAGTTCTGTCACTCCCAGTTGTAATGATCATATCTATTTTATCCTCGTCATCTTTTTAGAATCAGCTTAAAGAATTTTTGAAATCTGAGTCGAATCAGCATTGTTATCCTTGCAAGTCCATGAAACCTGCCCCTCATTTCTGTCACCTCAGTGGACACTCAAGCTTCTGGGCCCTTCCAGTTCTCTCTTCTAGATGACTTCCTCTTCCCACGCATTGGCCCTTGTGTATGATAGAGCAGTGACTGCCTTTCACGGCTTAGAAATTTTGCCTCTTTGATCGTTGCACCCAGCTGTAGGTAGCATTTACAATACAGCCCAAGAGTCACTTCAGAGTTAGAGGGTTCTGTGCCATGGAATCACCGAAGCGAAGCTGGAGAAGTGTTGGCATGGGTGAGGGTGAGCCCGTGCTAGTTAAGGTTTCTAAGAAGACTTGGCTGTCAGACTCAAAGAATCCCTTCTCCAGGGAGGTGAGGGGGCAGCAGCCCTGGAGATGGGGCTCCGCTCCACTTGTGTCCGACTGGAGTCACTCCTGAGTCTGACGGCTTCCTCCCTCTCACAGCCCTTTGCCTAGGCACAGTGACGGCTCCAGAAGGAAAGAGGGTTCCACACCACAACAGCATGTGGCTTGTGCTGTGTTGAGGGTGACGGAGCCCTGTGGCTCTTCCCAACTCTCCCAGCCTGAATGGAGAGACGAAGGGTACAAGGGATAGAGGTGGCGTGAGGCCAGGCTCACTGTGGCTTTCTGGGACGGTGGGGAATATTTTTAATCCCTTTTGCCCCAGAGACCTAGAGATATTCAAGACCTAACACAGACTCCAAAGAAGTTGAAGGATGTGCTCAAAGTCCTTTTAGGATAGCAATGCAATGTCTGTGACGTCCAAGGGAATAAAATTCGTCAGCAGAGATTTGAACTAAAATTACTTGGGCTCATCAGCAGTTTGTGAAGATGCAGAGCGCTTGGTTGTGAAAATAGAACAAACACGCACATCCAGTTTATCCTTAGCTTTTCTGGTTAATCACACTCTGCAAAGGCCCGGCCGTAGTCTGGGAGGGTTGTTCAGGTCCTTTGAGGGTAAGCAACAGAGATGTCTCAGAAGTCATCCTACTCAACAGCTCCCCGGTTCCCTTCATCAAGCCCATATCTTGATCCTTTGACCAGTAGGTGCCCCTGGTTAAGATCCAAATGACTGGGCAATGGAGGGGTGCTAAGGGAAGGGAGATGGAAAGTCCCAAAAAAGGAACCTCTTCTTTTAGAGAGCTGTTTGCACTGAAGAACATTTTAGGAACATTTTACTTGGAGATCCAGCTGTCACCTTTATGACATTAAACATTCCTCGTGATTATTATGGTGTCTAACATATGTTCTTACCTGCTTCATTCTTAAAGGGACATGACCTTCTGGTGACCTTGTTAGCTACTTGGGAACCCTCCCTGGAGGAGTCACCTGGGGCATGACCTAGCAAGAGAGAGTTCCACTGAATTGATTCTTGTATCACAGGTGGCCCCTCATGATGGCCTTATTTTGGGGGAGATACCAGGGATTGAACTCAGGGGCACTCAACTGCTGAGCCTCATCTCCAGTCCTATTTTGTATTTAGAGACAGGGTCTCACTGAGTCGCTTAGTGCCTTGCTGTTGCTGAGGCTGGCTTTGAACTTGTGATCCTCCTGCCTCAGCCTCCCAAGCCACTGGGATTACAGGCATTAAATATTCCTTAATACATTTTTAAGAACAGCATTAAAATGAAAACATAAAGGTGGTAAGAAAATGAGAATTTTTAATGACTTTTCCTTGCAAAGTGGGGCCCTCTTAGAAAACTGGAAAATAACATTGGAGGAAAAGATAGAAAAATTTGGAGACCAAGTAAATTCAGATTATTTTTCTGGGATTTACTATTTGGGATGTTGGAAATTGGATATCATGTACAAGGCTACATAAAAGACTATTTTTATATTGCAAGACATTACAATAATGCTCCCTAAAATAAGAAATATAGAATAAGAAAATATCGTAATCCCAGAACTCAAGCAAGTCAGAGCATCGTCATTTTGCAGTGATCCCCGGCATTCTCTGACCACAGGTGGACACCCTGCCTGTTTTCAAGCTGAACGGTTTTGCAGTCCGTGACCTTGATATGCATATATTTATGTCATGTAGTTATCTCCCTTGTTATAATCTTCAAGGATGCAAATGCTCTGCTTGGAGATGAACTAGCTTCTGATCTCTAGAGCTCAGCAGATAGCAGGTGTTCTGTGACTGTTCAGCGAAGGCAGACCCAGCGCATTTTAAAAGATGACTTTTGCCTGCAATAGAAGGAAAAGGGGTTGTTGGGATTTTATAGTTTTGTCAACAGTTTTTCATATCCTGTCCGCACACATCATGCTCAGCATGACTAATGTGACTGCGGCAAACTCTTGAGGCCAAAACATAAGGAGAAACTTTATTGGCATACACTCTGCCCATGCACAAAAAGGAGGAAGTCCGCCTGGTCAGCGTGGTGCTTGCTGGAGCTCTGTACACAAATTAGGAATTGAAGATGCGAGTCGCCATTACAGAGCTTACTTAGCACTTTAGCCAGAGCATGTGGCTCTCTGGTGTCACATCAGCCTGAAGAGCTTGACTTGGTGGGTATGGCCTCTGTCCAGTCTGGGTACTGCGTCATCTGTTCAGAGAGTCTGGGAAGAAGTGAGCAGCCGTGGAGAACTGTTTAAAAGAAACGACCTGGGCTGGGGCTGGGGCTGGGGCTCAGAGGTAGAGCGCTCACCTACCACGCATGAGGCACCGATCCTCAGCACCGCATAAAAATAAAAATAAAGATTTTGTGTCCACCTATAGCTACAAAATAAATATTTAAAAAAAAAAAAGGACCAGAAAGAACCTCCTTGGGCTTCTGAGAGCTGGGTGCCTGCCCCATGGTAAAGGCCAAGTCTGGGGTCTAATTAGGCCTCTCCTGTCCCTCTGGCTTCCTTCTGGGGTTGAGTAACTGGCCTGGAGAGCAGGCATTTTCTGTTTGCTTTCTTTCGTCCTTCAAGTGTGTAAATACACACTTTCTTGGTTTATTCTAAACAACAGTAAGAGATCACTGGTTGTGCTGGGAAGCACACAACTTAGGGAAACCAGACTGGTTCTCGCTGTCACATACCAATGTACCAGTTGCATCCCTTTTTAGAGAGAGAGAGAAGGAATGGGGTTTAAAACCCTATCTGGGTCGGGCACAGTGGTGTGTACATGTAATCCCAGCAGCTTGGGAGGCTGAGGCAGGAGAATCACGAATTTGAAGCCAGCCTCAGTAATTTAGCGAGACCCTGTCTCTAAATAAAATACAAAAAAGGCTGGGGATGAGGCTTAGTGGTAAAGTGCCCCTAGGTTCAATCTTTGGTACCAAAAAATAATAATAATAAAATAAAATAAAACCCCATCTTCTGAATGGGGTTTTATCAGAGGGGAGGTGGGGCGGAACTCGTACTCTGTGAATGATTGAGTCAAAGCTCTCCCTGGAGACACAGACAAAGATCCCAGCAGCAGTGGCCTGGGAGGGACAGGCGAGCTGGTGGGTCTCCTGCTGTGACTCTCATGGTGTCTGCATCTGCGTTCAGCCTGTAACTAGCATGTTCTTTGCCAAATGTCTTCCAGGAGCCATCAATTTCCTGCGCTCTCTCCTGGAACCAGACCCCGTGAAGAGGCCAAATATTCAGCAAGCACTGGCGAATCGCTGGCTCAATGAGAATTACACAGGCAAAGTGCCCTGCAACGTCACCTACCCCAACAGGTAATTTAGTGCACACACAGGGACTCCGAAGTCCCTGTCCTTCAAGCCCTGGGTAGTCCTCTGGACAGCAGGTCGCACAGGATTCAAAGCAGAGCCGCGTTTTCGGTGCACAAGAGGAAGAAGACGGGGCTAGCATGGGTGGTTGTTCAGAGGGGCAAGTGGAGGCTGAAATCAGGCCGTGCTCCCCCCTCCTAGCCTTTCTTTAAGGGCCTGTGTCTTCCCTGAGGGGTGCTGCTTTTTAGTTCCCATGAAGGGACCATGTAGACAAACTGTGACGTGCGTATATTTGTGTGTGTGTGTGTGTGTGTGTGTCTGCCTGGGTCTGTGTGTGTGTGTGTGTGTTTGTGTGCATGTCTGTGAGCCTGTGAGCCTGTGTGATCCACCCCCGAGCTCTCCTGCCAACATGAGGCAGACTCCTGGGGAACTTTCCTTCAAACCACCCCTCAGAGGCCTCTTTGTCCTTGATGTTTCTTGCAGACCTGAGACCTCCCCTTAATGCACTGGGGGGCAGGGAGAAGAGGGGGTAGGGGTCACTCGCTTCCTGCGGGGTTTCCCTGTGGACTTCCTGTCAGGCTTGACCTGTCAGTATCCATGAGGAGGGCCTATTAAGGAGAGTGATGGACAGGGATCCACAGCCAGGAACACTCAGAGGCATTTTGTGTGGCCCAGGCTTCTCCATGCTGGGTGCTGACTACAGTTTTGAGAACAAGTACAAGAAAGCATGTCCTGACACTTTTTTTTCCTACTCATCTGACATAGTATTAACCAATGTGAGCAAGGGAGGGAGGGGACCCTCATCTCGGCTACTTTAGAGCAGACCTGGAGACCACCCGGCCCGACACCTTGCAGGTCTGAGAACCGCTCTTCTTCTTCTTTCAGACCTAGGGAGGCCTGCACATTTGACCACACTTGCATGGGGACCAGAGGACCGCTGATCGAGGGGGGGACTGGCAGGGCAGGGAAGGAGGTGTCCTCTGTGGTCATAGTTCCAAAACGCCTAGAAAATTCTGAAAACACGCCTCAGGTCTTATCAGAGCTGAAATGCTGAGTAGGTCTAGAAGAACTGAAGGGGGGCGGGTGGACCCCTTCACACCACTTTGTCCACACTACTTGGCCAAACTTACACTTGCTGTGGTCAGGGAGGAGGTGGTTTTGCACAGTTGCCATCTAGAATTCTAGCATTTGGCTCATGGGCGGTAATTTAGACAAAGTCTAGATTACTTAGGTTACCAAGGGAACCTGAAAATAGATTGCTGTTTTCCAACACCTGCTCAATTTGGGCCAGTATCTGAAACACACACCAGAAATATTACCCTAACGTGAGACAGAAAGCAGAGCTGAGGGGCCGGGCCTCATTACCAATGGATAGCAGCACTCAGGTGTGCTTTCTGTTAAAGGAGGGGGCATTGGTGGCAGCCAGATGAGCCATTAAGCTAATGTAATCACCACCTAAATGAGCATAATCCATCCACCAGCTCCTCAGCTGTGGAAGGGGTGGGGCTGGTATTAGAAATCCAGCCAGCCTCCTCCTTGTTGGCCACATCTTTGTTGACAGAGAGTCATGATGTGGTGTCTTATTTTGGAGCTTTCTCACATTTGCAAACAGGATTTGGTAGATTAAAACTTAAGTTCAAGTTCCTATACTGGTTTTGCCAGATTGATATTTTTAATTTTTTTTTTTCATTTGAACTTGGTCAGAAACACAGAGATGGAACATGTAATTGGTTAGGTAGGTTGTAAACATGGTTAAGATCTCATATATAAACCACCCCCTGCCCCCACAGCTCAGTGTCTTCTGTTTATGTAAGGCCCATTACTCATCCTATACTAGAGTCAAATCAGTGCTCAAGTTTTAAGACAGGAAGCCAGAATTCCAAACGGTTTGGGGGAGGTCCATGTTATTTATAGTCTTTATTTTGAAAAATGTTTATCTTTAAGGCGAAAATATATTTTTGATACTTACTTTTCTTGTTTTACTAACACATAGATAAAAGGAGAAAGAACATACAATTAAAGAAAGGACTATTTATAAAGTATGGTTTATAGTTTCCCAACATTCCTAGCCCCAGATTTGATTATTTTAGACATTGTCAGTGTTTTCCTTTAGGAAAGGAAGGTCCCAGGTTTTGTATCACTCTTCTGTGAAAGCTTCTCCTATAAAGTTATTTGGACTTCTGAATTGATCTCTTAAAGGAAAGAGGAAAATAACTCTGGAAGTGAATTTTTTTATAATGAATGTTCATGCCAATCAGTCCATACGTGTTTGTGGGGAGCCTGGCTGCCCACCTCTCCTTTGGCTCTGGAGATGGGTGGGAGGAAAGGAGGTGATGGGTGATATAGAATAGTCCAAAATGGTATAAAACCAGATTTAATGAGATGTACTTAGTTTAAATTATACCTCACATTCTGGAACGGTTTGCTATTCTCTGTGTCATCCAAACATTCAGAGATGATACAAATTCAATAACAGATATTGGAGAATGCCAAATATATACATTATTTATTGGAAAATGTTTTAAATATGTATTACTTGCAGTCAAGAAACTGTTGACAGCCTGTTTTGGCAGGGCTCTCCTGTTTTTGAAGACAATTGATATAAAGGGAGCCATGGAGTATCTGCCCCAAGAACATCCCTCGCCACACTATCCCCCATTCCCCGGGCAGTGGCGCCTCACCACCTCCCAGGAACGTGCGCTGGACTAGAGGGTGGGACCGTGTGAGTGTGGATGCGGTCGGATTGGCCAGGAGCAGAGCCACGCAAGTGTCGCTGTGATCTGATTGGCCAGGAGCAGGACCACACCCCCCTCTGCCCCTACCCTGCATTTTCAAACAGTCTCACCCTGCGTGTTGAGTGGTTTAGCCAACCACAAGTAGTTTTATATATTTGAACTAATGTTATTAATATCTTTTTTTTTTTTACAACTAGTCGTTTCAACTTCCCTCCTAGCCATTACCTAGAGTTTGTGATTTTATAGCAAACAGGAGTGAGGAGAAGGGTTTCATTTTTCTTTGGGCCTGTTTTGTTTTGTTTTTTGTTTTTGTCTGGGATGAGGCAGTACCTACTCCCATCTAGTGAGAGGAGAGCTTAGGTGGGTCACACCTACAGATGGTAAATGATGGTCAGGAGGCAGTTTTACCCTCCGCACCGTGCCAGCTGGCCATGTGGACTGGGCAAGTGGGGCCCCTGCTTTTTACAATTATAGGTTGCACTGTGGGGTTCCTCTGAGGTTCCATCAGAAATGTCTTCAGACCCTCTGGTGGCAGTTATGGGGCTCTCCGGCCATTTGCTTTAGCCTTCTGCTCACGGAGGGCCCTATTTGTGTCTCTCGAGAGATTTAGGATGATGCACCCCACACTACCTGCACATAGTGCCTTAGGACCCTCAGCCTGATTTCTTGTGCTCTATAGCCATTCTGTGTGTCCTTGAGAGGCAGTGAGTGTAGAGATTTGACCACCAGACCCAGCCAGGCTGCCCAGGTCATAACTGAAAGAATTTCCCACGCAAAGACACTTTGCCAGGAGAATTCCAATTTTATTGCAAAAAGCTGTGTGCTTATATAGAACTAAGGGGGAGATGGTAGGGCTTAGATAAATGGCAGGCCACCCGTTTATTGGCAAGTTCTTCCAGATATCAGCTCCGGAGCCCAGGAATTAGTTCTTATTGGGGGTAAGGTTCCCCGCCAGCGAGATTTGAAATTGGCGCCGGCGGGAGAGTTCACACAGGCGGGAACTTTTCGCGCCACTGCAGAAAAGAGGAAGGTAGGAAGAAGAGGTCCTTTGGCGCCATGTTGGGGTTTTTCTCTGGGGTACGGCTGCCGTTTATACTTTTCCCAACAATAACTCTGGGGCTGTTCTTTCCACCTGTGTGACTCTGGGAAAATTACTTCACTGATGTGGGCTTTGGTTTTCTTCTCTGTAAAATGGGCATAATGATGGAATCTACTCACAGGACCGTCAGGAGGACTGAATCAAGTTACATTCTCTCTCTCCCACTGGAACATCAGCTCCAAGAGGCAGGGATCTGGTGGGTGGGTGAGTGAATGAGTGATTAAGTAAATGCCCAGGATTTCTTAAGCCTTCTGACTTAATGAGTTTTTCACAATACGCCTGTGATGAAGCTTCGGCTTGTCTTCCTCTGAGAGCACCCCACTTCCCAGCTGAGCCCCAAGTTCCCCGCTGTGAACTTGTGAGCCTTCGCTGGCTCCTGACCCTGGTGTGGGCCAGCTTCTGAATACCTTTATTTCCCATCCCAAAGACCAGAGTGTGGGCTCCACCCACGGGCAAGAAATACATTTTATGGAAAATGTTTATTTGTAAAGAGACTTGGGAGGCAGTTGGAGAATTTGAATGTGATTTGGGTATTAGAGGATACCAAGGAATTATTAAAATGATACTAAGGGAGCATGATTCTATAGGGGATATTCTAGGGGAGGTTCAAAGACATACACTGAAGGATTTAAAAATACAATGTTATGGTGCCCGTGATTTAAAATACTTTGGCCAAAAAAAAAAAAAAAGTGAATGAAGCAAGTGTAGTGAGATGGTAATTGTTACATCCAAGTGATGGTATGACATGAGGCAATTATGATCATCCCCCTATATCTGGGGGACTGGTTCTAGGATCCTGCCTCGGGACACCAAAAATCAACAGATGCTCAAATCCCTACGCACAGTAAGATACTATAGTTTTTGTATATAACCTATGCACATCCTCTTATATATTTGAAACACCTGTAGATTACTTATAATACCAAATACAGCATAAATGCTATGTGAATAGTTACAATATTGCCTTTGTTTAGGGAATCATCACAAGAAAAATGTTGGTTCACGTTCAGTACAGAGAAATTTAAAACATATTTTCCATCTGTATTGGTTGAACCTCACGGGTGGGGAAGGCCTGGATCTGGAGGGCTGTCTGCACACTGGTCCCTTCGCTTTCCTGGATGCATGGAAATTTTCACAGTCAGGTGGATGAATGAACGAATAGACCTGATTGTCCACAGGGGGCCTTTGGGGCTTGCGGTGCCGCCATGTTTGTGAGCCACGCTGTGGAGAGGTGACCGCTTGTGTCTGTGCCTCGCAGGATTTCTCTGGAGGACCTGAGCCCCAGCGTGGTGCTGCACATGACGGAGAAGCTGGGCTACAAGAACAGTGACGTGATCAACACGGTGCTGTCCAACCGTGCCTGCCACATCCTCGCCATCTACTTCCTCTTAAACAAGAAACTCGAGCGCTATTTGTCAGGGGTAAGTGGGACCCTGGGGGAGGTTTGTTTCTGTCCAGCGTTGCCCAGTTGCTGACACTTGATCCCAGCTACTAACTTCACCTGATGCAAAGCTGGGTTTCTAGACGGAGGGACAAAGGGGTAGCAAACCCTGCTTCTCAGGTAGCGCTTTTAACCTGAGATGTTTTTCCAAGATTCTTGTGCAGAATTAAGCCTGGGCAGAATGGTGAGGGGTTCCAGCCTGTTTTCTTTCAACTTCTCAGTTGCCTGTTTTTCTTCTGCCCCATTTAGGTTCCCCGGGTTAGAGCTGTTGAGGGCTTCTCTGGTCATAAAAGTTGGGGAGAGGATCCTCTTGGGCATTCATCCATACAGCATGGTATTTGAGAAAGCCATGACAGCCCTCTGTATGTGGAGAAAATTCTACTGAACACATACAAATTTTTTTCCTTGTCATTATTCCCCTAAACAATACAGTATGACAACTAGTTACATAGCATTTATCTTGTAGGTAGCCCAAGTAATCTAGAGATTCAAAGTAAATAAGAGGGTGTGCATAGGTTATATGCAAATTCTACCTTGTTTTACATAAACATTGGCAGCTTTTGTATGCACTGGGGGTGGGGGTGGGAGTCCTGGAACCTATTGCCCCAGGACACTGAGGGATGCCTGTGGTGACACTTCTCCAGAAAATAAGAATGAAATTGAGCTTCACTAGCTTGACCCCCTATCTTCAGTGCAGTCTGGGTGTCAGAAAGTTCATGCCTGGTGTCATGTGTCAAGTGCATTTGGTGTCCTGTACCATTCTGGCCACAAGCAGTTCATATTGTGCCTGGGAAGGAGAGCTGACGTGCTTTGGCATCTAGTTTTGACTAAATCATCTCTTTCCAAGTTGACAATGACTTAAACTAATTCTACACCTAAAATGGATCTAAGACAATAAAGATCCTATACCAGACTATCCCTGCTTCTATTCAGCTGGGTTAGTGAAGACCAGATCTAACAGGAGGTCAGTAAAGAAATTCAGAATTGGTAGGAAGCCCATCTAAGATTTGATGGAATATTTGCTTTCATGAAGGATAACCTTGATCCTGTGTATGTGGCACCTGGAGATCTGATAGAGTGCAGTTGTCTCTGTTGGGACATCATTTAGAATCTAGATGGTAAGAATAAACTTTTAGAGCTTTCTCAGTGCTATTGAAAGTCACATGATAGCCCAATATGTCACAAAATTCTTCCAAGGTTTAGAAACCTTTTTGAATATTAGAGCAAAAGATTAAAATCCATCTGCAGCTGGGGAATCCATATTCTCCCTGCCATGGCACAAATGACCAAAATACTATCCATAAGGCAAGAGGGTCAGTTTGTCTCATTAGCGGATAGATTTGGGAGATGGCTAGAAAACATGGCTTGATATATGAAGGAGCTCTATGGAAGGTTTGTTGAACAGTTGGATGAAAGTACAGATGTTTCCAAGCTGATTCAGCTTCAGATAGTTGCTAGATTTTTCTTCCGTAGGGAATTATCCACGGATTTTTTTTTTTTTAATGAACCACCAAAAGAAAGAGAAGAAACATTCTCTACAGTGAAAGGCATTTCAAAATGAGAACGATGTTTTATGGGTGTAAAATATGCTCTGTGTAAGCAGAGAATCTATTCCACTGGGAATAGATTTGTAGCTTTGAGGTTGCATTTCAGTGTTGTTGCATCACTCATAGGAAAACTACTGTAGGAGAGGTGTCAAACCCAGAAAAACAGGACTTTTGACACATAGTGCATGTATCAGTCCATTTTCTGTTGCTGTGACAAACTACCCGAGGCTGGGTACTTTATAAAGAAAAAGTGTTTATTTAGTTCATGGTTTTGGAAGCTCAATGTTCAAGATTAGGCAGCTCCATCTGCTTGGTCTCTGGTAAGGACTCCCTGGCTGTATCACAATATGGCAGAGAATAGGAAAGAGAAGTGACCACATGGATAAAAGCCAAGTGTGTTGGGTGGCCTCACTTTGTAACTGCCTGCTCCTAGAGTACTGCCTCACTCCATAAGATAGAGTCTCCAGTGACCTAATTATCTTGCATTAGGCCCTGCCTCTTTAAGGTTCCACCACCTCTTAACTTAACCACGTGGGGAAACAAACTTTTAGCACATGAATTTTCACAGGTCATACCATAGTTTATTATTTTATATTTAGGATTTTACTAGGTGATAAGGAGAGATTAAAAAGATCTCTGTACCACACAGTGTTCCTCTAGTGTCATCATGAGCAATTTAAAAGACACGGGCCTGAAGCTGAATCATATGCTCCAAATTTCTTTTATCTTATCCTTTTAAATTCCTATTGCATATTTCATAATGCAGATGATATATTAGTACAGTGGTCCTTGCTTATGATTGATGGCTGAATGTGCATATTATCTACGTCCCTCTGTATACTTTTTCCTCTCCTAAGGGCTCACAGTAATACTCTTTGGAGACCACCATGCTAGAGAGGGCAGAAGTTTTCAAATGGTTCTCAAGTAAGAGAAGAGTTAACACACTGATTTTCTTTTTTAAGAGACAGTGTTATTCAAAAATCAAGAAGTATTTTCATGAAACTAGCCATGTTATAAGGTTCATGATTTCATCTTTTACGGGATGACTGCTGCTTTCCTAAGTTAACAGATCCAAACATTCTGGTTTTTGAGTGCTTTACCAAGTAAGATGGGAGAGGTGTTCATTTTTAAAATAGTTTCCTGTGGCTACTTTCACATTTTCAGATAAAAAAAAATTTGGTCATTTGTGCACTTGTGAAACAATTACATGGTCCATCTGAATCAAGAAAGCTGTTTTGCTGAAAGCCCTTGATTCGTTTGGGTGTTTAGCTTTTTGCTACGCGTCTGTCCCTCTGCTTTGTCTAGACTTGGAGTGTCAGGTGTTGCTGGGCATGGTTTTGTCTGCTGAGAACATTCCCTGGAAACTCAGCTGACAGTTCAAACAGGAGAAGGTTTTCATTTTTTTGTGTTGGTTTCACATTTAACCCTTCAGTTGTAGGGCATGCCTGGTCTGATAATCCAAACTGTAGTCAAGTGGCTGTTTTTAATCCAAAGTGAATTAATCTCCACAGACAACTACGGCTGGCCTGCTCGGAGATTTCCAGAGGTGGCTAATTTAATTGCACCGTACGCACCATCCTGGTTACTAACCTTATCAGCCAATTACTAACCACCCACATATAATTTTTTAAATCTAATCCACTGGACTAAAAAAGTAGAATATGATACCTTAATTATTTTGCCTTTTCTTTATTTTCTCTTGGCTTCCTCTTTTTAAAACGAGGAAGCTAGAGAGTCTGTAAGGGCACTCTTGATTGTCTTCCCACCCCTAATCCATGCCATCATTCTTCTGCCTTCTCCACTTTCATATTGATTGATTGATTAGTTAATTAGTCACTTCATTTTCTCTGTCTCCAGACAAAATTCCACCTTTATCATCTTAGGTGCAGTTATCCATCTTCTTCCTTAAGGCACAGGATGAATCGCGGTGGCTTCCCTTTGGAGGGATATGCTGTGCTAAAGTAAGCAGACAAGTGAGATTTAGACCCCATTCAATGCTTTCCAAAAGATAAGTTGTTTTGCCTGCTCACCCGTTTGGCTTCTGCTTTCCAGCCTAGAGCAATTGCTGTTACTCAGATGAAAGAACCCAAGCCCAGCAGTGGGTAGTGACTGGAGGGTCACCGGCCCTTTGCTTCAGAGCCCATAATAAAAACAGCCGCCAGACTCTGAGTCCAGTCCCCTCCATGCTTCCTCCTCAGATGAGACTGCACCTTGCCGTGACTTACCAACCATTCTTGGCCCTGTCCCAGACAAGCTCTGGTTTAAAAATGAATGACTGCTTAATGGACGTTTCCATTTCTCAGACTTAAGCTCTGCTTTTCTTCCCTCTGTTGGTAGAAGTCCGACGTCCAGGACAGTGTGTGCTACAAGACCCAGCTCTACCAGATAGAGAAGTGCAGGGGCCCCAAGGAGCCGTATGAGGTGAGTGGCCCAGAAGCAAGCCCAGACGCTCTGAGGGAGAGGGGAGGGTGGACAGGAAGCTGGTTACTGTGGGACAAGAGGTACCAAGAGACAGACACCTTGTCACTGAGCCCTTGGGAATTCGTTTGCTGGAGCACCACGGCCCAGTCCCCGTGCTGCAGTCCTCCCTGTGGCCACACGTCAGAGTCACAGGGAGCATTTAAACATCCGGGTGCCCAGGCCCCGCTGCAGAGAATTATATCTAATCTTGGGTCGATATATTTTAAAGCTCCCTGAATGATTCCGATGAGCAGTCAAGGTTGGAAACCCTTGTCATCGATCCAAAAGGAAAACACAAACAAACAAACAAACAAAAAGGTGCCCAAAATTCAGCTGGATGCCAGGAGAGAGCAAGATGAGGAGCAGGGAACGTTCCGGAGGACAGCAAGCTTGTCCCGTCAGCTCTGTGGTGCCTTGATGCCGTGTAGAACATACCTGAGGGGAAACACCAACGGTTAATTTCAGAGTAAAAATCAGTGTCCCACGGCAAAAGGTCACAACCTCAACCCCACGCACACGTTTGTAAGATTGGGCCTGGGGATCCCAGACCCAAGGCCAGGAGCATGGGCCTCCCTCTTGTCTCCGTCAAGTGGGCTCTTCTTTCTCAGTTTTTTCCCAGGGAACCCACTCGCACTCTCTCTCTCTGAAACCTCTGCCATGTCCCCTGTGTCCCCGTCACAGGAACCTGCCCTGGGACACTCAGGAATTCCCTCATGGGAGGAGACATCAAAAAGGGATCTTCCTTGCCCTTCCTCTGTGTGAAGTTTTCCTGGTCCCCCGAGTCCCGCACACCGCCTGCGAAGGATTCTCTCTGGGGTTCACTGGGTCTAGCTGTGCCCGGGACGAGACGATCCTGTGTGAATTGGTGGGAGCTCGGGACAGGGCTCATCCCCAGGCGCCGGGCGAGGGGCGATAGCATGGCTGCCCTTCCTCTAGAGAGTGAGGGGCAGAGGGAAGGGGCAAAGACGGTAACGAGGAACGGCCAGGGAGGAGAGGCAGGGGGGACCCATGCCAGAGAGACCGTGGCATGCAGACCTGAGCAGAGCTGGCCGGGCAGTTAACGTCCTAGGGTGTTGGGATGGCCCGCCCTGTGGAAGTGGAGGAGGAGGAGAGTGATGGCGTGGGTTAGGGGTGGAAGGACTTGCAGGGCCGGAGGCGGAGCTGGGGCAAGCCTTGTCCCTGGGCTGATGCCTCTTCATCTGAGACCAGCTGTGGGGCACAGGACAACGTGGTGGAGAGGAGCTTCTGGAGGGTGGGTCCTGCCTGGCAGGGGCTGAGCCACCAGCTGCCACGTGGCCGTCGGGCGGAAAGCAGGCGAGCAGGGGCGTGTGGGGACCCGAGCCCAGCCCCCTGGCCAGTTCCTACCACATGTGACCTCTCTTGCCTGAGTGAAGATGTCTCAGATCTAGCGTGCCCAGAAGCAAGCTGTCCTCCCACGCGTCCTCACGGCAGCCCTGTCCTCCCCAGGGACACGGGACAGAAACCTGAGAGTCCTTCTTGAAGCTTTCTCTTCTTTTCCTTATCCCCAGAGCTAGCCCCTCGGCTGACTGGGCTCCTAAGTCTCTCCTCTGCTTTCTTGTCCCTGTCCCCCGCCTGGTCCCAGCTCTGCCCTGCCCCGCTGCAGTCTCATCCCTTGTTCCCTGGGTTCCCCGATGGCTGCCCCCCACCCTCTTACCCACACAGCAGCCAGAGAGAGCTTTCACCCTCTGCTGGCATCATGTCAATCATGTCACCCCCTGCTTGAAGGCCGAGGGAGGTCCTTCTCCTTCTCCCTTGCTGGGGCCATCTGTGTGGGTCAGCTTCTGCCTGCTGTCCCAGCCCCATGCCCTGCGCGTGCCCAGCCCTGCTGCTTGCTCTGTGCCTGCCGCCCTGGCCCTTCAGGCTTGCTGTGCCTCCTCTGCCCGCCAGGGCTGTGCACATACTGTTCCCTTCTTCCGGAAGTTTCTCCCCACCCCTCTTTCCCAGCCAGCGTCCATGTATCCTCAGACCCCAACATGAGTTCAGCTCCCCACGGACCCCTGCCTTCCCCAGATCTCTGTCCACACTCCTCGGCTGCTGTCACTCCACATTCTGCATTTGGCTGTTCACATGAGCAGTTTTTCATTTGTTTGGGGATTATTTGGTCAATGTCTCTGTCCCACACTGGACTGAGTTCCATAAAACAAGGATCAGGTCAGTATCTCTGGCATCTACATGATGCCTGGCATCTAGTAGGTGCTCAATAAATACTTGATAAATGAATAGATCAGAGAATCCAGTGAGCCTTGCCCCAAGTCTTGGGAAATGGATAGGACTGGGGAAGCAGCTGGAGAAGGTGGAAGGTTTCAGGTGGGACACCCCGGGGATTAAAGTGAGGGGGAAGGTGTGGCCCATGAGGCATTATCACCACCAGATGGCCATGTCTTGAGGCAGGGTGGGGCCTCTCCTGGTCACCCTCACTGAGCGTGGCACTCAAGCTGGAGTCCAGGGGATGCAGAATTAACTGGTAAGCTTCCCTGCCTGTTGGTTTGTGTTTAATTCAAATAATAATGCAAACTTAGCTGCAGCAAGTGCCCAATCTACGTGTCCTGAGCAGCCCCGAGTCTCCTTGCTGACGCCCTTGGCGCGATCCTCAGCCCCAGCGTTTCTCTGAAAGTGCCAGAATCCTGATGGGAAATGGCCCCTTCTTTCATTCAGATCCTTTTTCTCTGGTGATTAGTTCACTTGGCCCAGAGACACATGCTGAACGTTTTAAACATTTGTTGAAATATTGAACGGTTAGGATTTAAATAGGAACACTAATGGGCAAACGGCATTTCAATTTTCTATGATCCATTTGTTTTCTCCAAACGGCAGCGATACTTCTGCTAATTAGATTACAGGCTATTACTAGATGGCACAACTTGTCTCGGTTGGAGCCTAGAAAGTGGAATGGGGCTTGTTAGAAAAAGCATTCAGAAGGTCTGAGAGGACCCAGCCTTCCCGGTAAAGCCACCAGTTAGTTGCCATTGGCTGGCCCAGGAGGAGAGGTGACCCTGCATGGGCAGGGGGCAGGGCAGGGGGACAGGGAGCGTGGTGGACTGAAGTTGCAGGTCGTGTGCAGGTGACTGGGGTGTGACTCAGGGTCCATGTCCCCCAAGGATGTCATCAGGCTCTGTCCCTGAGTACAAGAATGGCCTCTTCTTTCCTATTCATTCCAGTTCTTTTTCTCCTAGGAGGCAAATGAGCTGAATTGAATTTAAAAAAACTTCCCCCTTGGGATTCCAATGCTGTGATGTGAAGACTTACCCTTCTATTTCTTCTTGTGGAAGGCAGAGATTGTATTTGTAAAAGTGGGACACGTATTTCACCTGAAAACACCTGTGTGTGTGTGTGTGTGTGTGTGTGCCTGAGGGACCCTCTTCCTCAAAAGGGGGCTGTGCAGGACAGAACTTAGGTTGAGGAGGGGCTGAAGGCAGCATTTTTTTTTAACTGGCTGTGAAAGCTGTGTGGAGCCCAAAGTCAGTCTTGTTTTTTTTTTTTTTTTTTTTAAAAAGTAGTGTTGCTTTATAGAAAACGTGAAACAGAAGTAGGAGGTCTTCTCTACCATGCGACACTGGGGTTTTGGAAGAAAAATTGTGCAGGAGGGAGGGGAAGGGCTTATTGTGATCCAGCTGCTGTGACAAATACCTCCACTGGGCCGAAATGTATTGCCTCTCGTTCTAGAGGCTGGGAGGCCAAGATCAAGGTGTGGGTTGGGTTGGTTCCTCCTGAGGGCTGCAAGGGGGATCTGCTCTGGGCCTCTCTCCCTCCGTCAAGCTCCAAGACCTGCTGGCCATCTTGGGCATTCCTTGGATCGTACATGGCCACTATGGTCTCTCCCATGGGGTCCTCCCCTTCTTATGAGGACCCCACTCAGATGGCATCAGGGTCCACCCTAATAACCCCATTTTAACTTGATTATCTCTATAAAAGTCCTACGTCCAAATAAGACCAAATTCTGGGATCCTGGGGGTGAGAACTTGAACATGTAAATTTTGAGAGAGTGTAATTGAACTCTCAACATGCACTCTAAGTTTAAAGGTAAATAATTAAACGTTCACTTCGTGTTCACTTCAAGTCTATATAACTTCTTAAAGTAAAGTTCGGAACCAGGTCAAACAAGCTGCGCCGTTGGAGCTCAGGTTGGTAATTCCTTCTGGGGACAGAGAGGCTGGGAGAAGACATGGGGAGACCCTCCCAGCTGCTGGCTAGGTTCTGGTTCTCGACCTGGCCACCATTCCTGGGGAGTATTTTTGCTGTTTAAGAAATGAGCTGCTTACCTCTTTTCAGAGCCCTCTTGTTCTTAGTCTCAGCTTTTAATAAAAAGTTTACCTCACTATACTGTCATGTGTAACTCATAAAGAAAAAATTTTAAAGAAGAAAGAAACTTGACTAACATTATACAGATGAAATATGACAGAGCTAAGATTCAAACCCAAGCTGTTTGACAATTTCTAAATTTAATAAAAATTATATAAAAAATGTAAAAAAAAAAAAGTTTACCTAAACAATTTTTCCAGCACGTGAATGAGGACATCTGCTGCCTACTGCCACTATGACTTAGAGATTTAAATTTTTTTTTCTATAAACGTTGAAATGAATAATATTCAATCAGAGCTATAGGGGAAGTTGTAGTGGGGAGGGTTTAGGGAATAAATAGCAGTTACAGCTGCTTCAATTCCTGAAAAATGCTGCTCTTTACAGGCCTCCCTGGACACCTGGACAAGAGACCTTGAATTGCATACTGTGCAGGTAAGAGCATGGTGGATTCTGAGTAATTAGTCAAGCTCCCCTGAGAGGCAGACACATCTTTCTCTCTCTCTCTCTCTCTCTCTCTCTCTCTCTCTCACACACACACACACACACACAGAGAGATAGAGATAGAGATGGAGGGAGAGAGAGAGGGAGGGAGGGGGAGAGAGAGAGAAATTGAGATGTATTTTAAAGAATTGGTTCATGTGATTCTGGCCTGGCCAGTTTGATATCTGCAGAGCAGGTCAACAGGCCTGAGACCTAGGAGAGTTGGTGCTGAGTTTCAAGTCCAAAGGCATCTAGAAACAGAATTTCTTTTTCCAGAAGATCTCTTTTTTTTTTTTTCTTAAGACCTTCAATTGATTGGATGAGACCCACCCACATTATGGAGGGTGATCTCTTTGCTTAATATCTGCTGATTCAAGTGTTAACACATCTTAAAACTGCCTTTGCAGGAACATCTAGTCTGGTGTTTGACTGAATAGCTGGGTACCAAACTTGACTTAGCCAAATTAACACATGAAATTAACCATCACATAAGGGTCCCTACCAATTGCTCAGTCTCTGCCCAGGGCAACAGACACTCTGCATGCCTGTCCTTATCCAGGATTAACCTGTTGTGGGTGGGTTTATCTGAGTCCCCTCAGATTAGATCGGTGCTTTCTATGCTGAGCTGAGATAGTTTCATTGTCTTGCATGACCACACACCCAGCTGTTCATGCCTGTTTACTGTATATGGAGTGGGGTTTGTTAAATTAGGCTCCGTGGCCTAATTTATATCCAAAGTCCCTTTTATGAATTCACTCTTGCTTTTTTTTCCCTGTGGCAAAACCATGCTTTCCATTACGTGATGGGCAGCAAGGAATCAAAACCAACCAGCCGATGCCACCATCCCAGGTGGTAGTGGTCACATCTGGTTCTGTTGCTCCAACAGCTGGTTGAGGCTGCCCGTCAGAAAGCTCCAGAAAAGCCCCTGGTGAGCTGGACCTTATAGTCACTCAGGAAGGCAGCTTTGGCCGCCTTCAGCCCACAGGGCGCTGCTGCCAGAAGCGCTGTTGTAGCCTGTTTTCAGTTTCCCAGGCAGCAGCTCCTCCCCAGCCTGGGGTGATGGGAGGCTCCGAGCATCCATCCGTCTTAAGTCGTCTTAAGTCGGTGCCTTTGCTGTTCAGACAGTGAAGCAGGTGTCGTGGGGATTCTTGCTTATTCTCACCGAGCGGGGCGGGACCAATTTTCTGTTGCAGACTGGGAAACACTTCCCTCAAGGTGAAGTGACTTGCCCCAGGGTCACCCAGCAAATTATAGAGAGGACCAGGGATAGGTTCTAGATTTCCAGACCTCCCAGCTGCCGCCATGGCTGGGATCCTGGGAGTTTCAGAAGCCTAGAGTCGTTACAAAATGGCTGCACGCCCCCAGTGGCACTGCTGTAGGGGAAGAGTCCAAGGGGGCCACCTCTCTGGAGCTCAGACCTCAGAGGCGGAGGACTGGGCCTCCTCCTCTCACTGGCTGCAGGTCTTCCTCTAGAAGCCCAGGGGACCATCACCCCCATTTCCTTTTCCCCATGAAATAATACAAGACACTAGAAGAGTCAGGGACAGATAATCCTTTATGGGCCCATATTTCCCAATCATTCAGTTTCGTAGATGTCCATGCACATTTCTAGAGGGTGCAAACAGTTTCTAGAAAGTGAGAAGCTGTATTGTGTGTGGCTCGCATCTGGGGCTTCTCTGATCTGCCATGGGGGTGCAAAGAAGATGTTCTCAGAGCCAAGAGCTTGAAGCCCTTTGCCGGCCCCCAGGCCCTCGTGGGTGCTGGGGAGCAAGTCCAGGGAGAATGGAGGGAAGCCAGGTCACCACAGGCTGCAGCACTGCTGGGTAGGGAGCATGCATGTGAAAGGGGGAGTGTAATTAGTCCCTCTGAAGATCTTTTCCTGTTACATAAGGCAGTTTAGCATCCTGCTCCCTAGGAAGTTTCTTCTGGAGAAAGTAGGCCATGCAGATGCAAAGGTATAATTGGGCGCTCGTTGCATTTGGTAACCTGCTCGGAGGGCAGTGGGCTCAGCTGGTTGTAAACAAACACGTTGACTCTGGGCAGTTGACCCTTCTGCATGGGCTGATGCAGGGTTTGTCCCCCTCGGGGAGTGGTCAGCAGTGAATTCTTCTTCACTTTTCCTAGAAACCGGTTACTATGAAACCACTGATTTTGTTTAGCCTGGGGAAGGATGTTCTGGGGGGTGGGAGAGGAAATGCCAGGGTGCAGGATCCTGGGGTCAAGTGCAGCAAGAGTGGCCTTAGCCGGGTTTCCCAGAGTTTTCTGTCGGGCAGTGCAGTTGCCCTTCCTTCTGCTGCTGTAGAGGTCTTTCTGCTTGTGGTCACACATCCCTTGGTTACAGGAGAATTTTGGTCTCCCAGGCCAACCTTGGTCTCCTTCCAGAGCAAACTCTCACGCCTTGGATGCCTCTCGGTGCTACTGAACTCGATCCGGATGGCGATGCTGACCCCATAAATGTTTTGATTGAGCTTTAAGCTTTTGAGACCCCAGGAGGGTCGGAAATTAGCTGAACTGGACCCTTGTCACTGCCAGCAGCTCTCTAGTCATGGGGACACAGAACAGCTTGAGGGAGGCTTTGCTGATCATTTTAAAAAACAGTCTCCAAAAGGGTGAATGTAGTTTGATCTTTTCTATCAAGTATTGTTTCAAAAACATATCACAAAAGTACATTTGGGGTTTTTTCCTTCTTAAAGTAAAAATGGTGAGTTTCATATAAAAACAGAGAGAACAGAGCAAAAGGAAGAAGTTCTGCCCGACTTTTCAGGTCGGACCAGTCGTGTCCCCTAGGATCCTGGGTAGGGATGTGTGTGTGAAAGGTTGTTCTCCTCTGCCTTAGAGGAGGCCTGTTCTTGTTTCATGGAAACAAAGGAGCAGAAAACAATTAAAAATTGCGATTGTCCTCTGCTGGCCTTGACCAGGGTGACCTGGAGCACATGGTCCCCTTGGTAGCTTCCCCCGTATCTTAATCCATTTTCTGCTGCTATGACAGAACACCAGAGACTTGGTCGTTGTTAAAGAACAGAGATGTATTCCTTACATTTCTGGAGGTTGGGACGTCTCAGAGCTTGGTCCAGCATCTGGTGAGGGCCTCTGCGCCACACTGTGCCGCGTGGAGGGCGTCAGGTGGTTATGAAGTGTTTCCAAGAGACAGAGGAAAACAGCTGAATGCACTCATCCTTCATTAGGAGCCCACTCCTGCAACAGACAACTACGCCACTCCTGTGATAACTAACCCACTCGCAGGTTAACTAACCTGCTGCAGCCATAATTAACCCACTCCTGCAGTCACGACCGTGATCCAGGCAGGAGGATAGTGCCTCTGACCGGATCACCTTTTAAAGGTCCCACCTCTTAATACTGAGACAGTGGCAATTAAATTTGAGCATGGGTATGGAGGGGACATTCAAACCATAGCACCAGATGGAGACCCAGAGCATATGCCTCTCCCAGGCATGCGTGTGGCTCTCGGGAGCCGGCTGCCTGCCTCTGGGCACCGCTGCATGCGGCTTTCTCTGCACCCCTGGCATCGCCCGACCCACCCCAGGACTTGCAGGCTGTGTGGAGTGAGGCCATCACAGCGCCCACTTCAGGGTTTTGGCAATCTCCATGTTCAGCCTGCTCTTGGTGAATTATTTAGCCACCCAGGCCATTTCCTTGTTTCTAAAGGGACTAACAGTCTGCTCATTGCAGGTCACGCTTGGTGCAGCACACGGCTGTGTGTGTCCCCGTCCAAGGCCGGTGGTGACAGTTATGGTGCTGAAGAAGTTTCACCTCTCCTTTGGTCCCACCTTGCCCCTCCAACGGGGACAAGCCACTTTGGCTAAGGGTTAGATCCTTAGGGATCTCCTGTCCCTCCAAGGGGCTCTGAAGGTTCTTTGTCCCCTGTTGTTCTTTCCCACGAAAAACTTGCCTGCTCTGCAAAGGCGCTAAAAGTCCTTATTGGAAAGGCACTTTTATAAAAGCGCAGAAGTTTCCTTGAGAAGCTTTTCAGTAACAGAAATGAAAAATAGATGAGCTCTCTTGAATTGCAAATGCTCTTGAAGTTGGAGGCAAAAACGTGGCAATATGTCTTTTTCCCTCAGCCGGGGCGAGGTCAGGAATGCCACTGTGTGTTTAACAGTAAACATCAAGCTTCTTCTTAGTGGCATCATCCTTCCCAGAAACTTGAACTTGATTAATTTTAATCAGCTCAGCCTCTGCTGACCTTTTTCAAAAAAATTTCAATAACTATTTATTATGCTTTCTCTAAGTGCCTAGTTTTATGGCCGCGGCTGTGGAGCTAAAGATACATCAAATAGTCAAATTCTCTCCCATCGGAAGGATGATAATCTAGTTGCATATGGGTAAAATGTAGAGCACATGGTGATGCACATGCAAGCTTTAGATTCTCAAGTAAGTGCTCACATGCTTGAGGGCGCAAAGGGCCTGAGTCCCCCGCCCCAGGACCCCATGGGGCTGCATAGTTGCCCCGTTGTCCTGAGGGCCTCCTTGGCTTGATTGTACAAACAGGACCTGGCATTAAGATGAAAGCAGCTGTACCTCAACCTGCAAAGCTGCCCCTGTGTGCAGAATCCCAGGGCGCCACTTTAAATGCAGATGGGAGGTTCCCACAAGTCCTGATCTGCTTCGCTCTGGCTCCTTCAGCTTGTGCCAGGATAACAGGCCTCCTCACCCTCGCTGGGACACCTCGAAATGTCACAGTGCCAGGGAGCTGGAGACAGGCGAGGGCCCTTGTTGCCCAGGCAGAGGGACGCAGGCCCCGGTATTGGCTGATCCTGGGCCTCAGTCCTTCCCTCATTCAACATGCCCTTGAAAGCACACAGCGGGAAGAGCGGAGATTCTCCAGTCTCCTTGGTTGGTTTTCCAAAGAGGAATCCCACTGTGTGTCTGAGCATGTATGTCTGCTTCTGATTTGAAGGACAAAAAGCCCAAAGAACAAGAAAAACGAGGGGATCTTCTTCACCGGCCATTTGCCAAGAAGATGGACAAGAACCCGCCCTCGTACAGACAGCCTTCCGCCTCGCTTGTCACGCAGATCCAGAACACCAAGGCGCTGCTCAAGGACCGCAAGGCTTCCAAGTCTGGCTTCCCCGACAAAGGTAGCTCAGCTGGGGCCGCTCTCGGCACTCATGTGGAGCTGTGAGTCCCCTGTGCTCCCCTCACGGGTGGCGGTGCAGGCCCAGGACAGAGATGATTATTGTGCCCTTGGGAAAGCAGCTGTCCCATGTTTGAGGCAACGGGAGAACAGTCGAGGGCCAAGCCACGGGGGATTAGCCACCCGTACAGGAAGGATTGAGAAAACAGGGTTCGGGCCAATATAGAAACAGAGATTGGGGCAAATGGTATTGCAGGAGCAGAGGCTGGGGTATGGTATTGTGGGAGCAGGTGTCGGAGGGTGTGGTACTGTGGGCACAGAGAGTGGGGCACATGGGGCTACAGGAGCAGAGATTAGGGTCAAGGTATTCTAGGAGTGGAGATTGGGATGTATGGTTCTGTGGGATGAGAGGTGAGGCTATAAGGCATTACGGAGTAGAGAATGGGGTGTAGGGATAGGTATGCTGGTCAGAAGTGGGGCTGTGGAGAACACATGGTGTCCGGAGCCAGGGATGGTGCATAGTATTGCAGAAGAGACTGGGCTGCGGGAGCAGAGATCAGGGTGCAAGAACAGAGATGGAGCAGAGAGTGGCAGGCGGAAGCCTAGACTGGGACATGGTTTTGTTGGAACCTTTATCAGAAAAGTGGCCCCAGGGAGGCATGGCAGTGTGACTGAGTCTGGGCTACTGGTAGAGGTAGGATGCTCGGACCTGAGTTCAAAGCCCAGCTCTGCTGCTCACAGACCCTGGGTCCTCACTGGTGTCCTTCCCTATAACAGCTCCCATCTGTTAGAGCTACCTGGTAGATAAAGTGAGATACACATGTAGGCCTCTGCTTGGTTTGGAATCCAGCCCATTGCAGATAAATAATAAATGTGGGTCTTCAACCTTTAGATGGGCGTGGGAGGAAGTAGGAGAGCTCAGCAGGTGTGGGCTTAACACACTGGGAGATGCTAAGAGCAGGGACACAGGAGCCAGGGGCCTCCTGACTCACAGCCATGAGGGGAAGGAGAGATTTCTGTTACCAAGAGGATATAGAGGTCACACTCTCTAATCCTTTTGTTTCAAATGTGAAGAAACCAAAATTCAGCGAGGGCCATAGCCAGCTGAGGTCAACTGAGGCTTGCTGGGCAGTAGTGGGACTCATGGATGACTGCAGCCACTGTCCTGGCCCTGCCCAAAGCCGCCTGCCTTCTTGGTGCAGAGCAGCAACACTCCTTGCAGGGAGACCGTGTTCTCGGGCCAGCTGGTAGCACTGGAGGCCTCCGTGATGAACAAAACCCGACTCCTTCCTGCTGATGGGCCTCAGGGCCGTGTGCATCTAGGAGGAGATTTATTTTGGTGTCTGTGGGTTTATTTATGGGAGGCAAGGAGGAATACAGTGCCCTCCGCTGCTCCCCACATCTCTCCCCATGGGCAGCAGCTGGCACCTGCAGCTAGGCCTCCGCAGAGCCTGCAGACGGTTACGTAGAAGAAAGACGCTACCACGGAGCAGGAACTTGGCTTTATTTCCCTCGGCTCCAACTCTGGTGGGGGAGGGATCCCTCTCTTCTCTGGCATAGTCTGTGCCGACTTGAGATGGAAAATGCGGGGACTGGCTGGTGGATGGACTACCCTGTTCAGAATGGGCTGAGGCTTCGTGGGGATCAGAGTCATGAGGGAGCCATGAAGGAGGGAAGTCCTGACACATGCTGCAGCGTGGGTGGCCCCTGAGGACACGAGGCTAAGTGGAGTGAGCCAGTCCTAGAAGAACAGATGCTCCGCACAGGAGATTCCTCAAGTGGTCAGGTGTGCAGAGGCAGATGGTAGAATGGTTACCAGGGGTGGAGGAGAGAACGAGGAGTCCCCGTTCACCCTGGACACAGAGGATTAGATCTGCAAGGTGAAAATGGCTCATGGGGATTGGTGGCACAACAATGCGAGTGTCCTTAACGTTACTGAACTGTATCTAAAAGGTGATTGAGATGATACATTTTCTGCTGTATATTTTTTACCATGATAAATTTTCTAAAAATATACACGGGGAAATAGTCTTTCCCATGTCAGTGTCTGAGGACCAGGTTTGTGGTGCTCAGTGAGCCACGCTTCCTGCGTTTCCACAAGTTCCAGGCTTGTCCCGTCAGCTGGTGCACCTTTTTAATTCAGAAGTCCTTTGACAGGGTCTAGAATTTTAAGCCACCAAAAGGGGAGCAAGATGTTAAGCTGGGGCCTCCGTCACCAGCCTTCTGTTTCCTGCATCCTAGAAGGACTGTCACGGCCTCTGTGGGACAATCAGATGCCGTGGCTGAGTCCTTTGCTTCCTCTTCCTCCTGCCCCCCACGTGCTCAGCGTCTCAGCCAGACTGGGGGGCAGTGCAGGCGGGAGAGGGGCCACGTCCTCGTCTCTGTGGCTGTCTTAATGGTTTTGTTTTCTGGGTGTGCAGATTCCTTCGGCTGTCGAAACATTTTCCGCAAAACCACTGATTCCAATTGTGTGGCTTCTTCCTCCATGGAGTTCATCCCCATCCCACCCCCCAGAACCCCCAGGATTTTAAAGAAGCCGGAGCCCCATCAGCAAGGGCCTGGGAGCGCCAGCATCCCGCCAAAGGAAGATCCCCTGATGCTGGACATGGTGCGCTCCTTCGAGTCTGTGGACCATGACGACCACATAGAACTGCTGTCCCCTTCCCATCACTATAGGATTCTGAACTCACCTGTGAGCCTGGCTCGCAGGAATTCCAGTGAGAGGACTCTGTCCCCAGGGCTGCTGTCTGCAAGCACGTCACCTCTGCAGACTCCTTTGCATCACACTCTGGTCTCCTTTGCTCATGAAGATAAGAACAGCCCACCCAAGGAGGAGGGCGTGTATTCCCCACCTCCAGTTCCCAGCAACGGTCACACTCAGCCTCTGGGGAGCCCCAACTGTGTGAAGAGCCGGGGCAGGTTCCCCATGATGGGCATTGGACAGATGCTGAGGAAGCGGCACCAGAGCCTGCAGCCTTGTGCAGAGAGGCCCCTGGAGGCCAGCATGCCCCCGCTGCAGCCCACAGCCCCCGCAAGTCTTTCTTTTGACATGGCTGACGGGGTCAAGGGCCAGTGTTAACCTGGGTCCGTGAGATTCTGAGCCTCTGCAAGGAAAGCAATGGAACAGGGCTCCACACGTCTGCCAGGACGTGAACCAAGACCTCGCAGAAGCGTCCTCCATGGCCTCATCCACTCTGCCCTGCAGTATCTCACCTGTGGATCAGCCGAAATCCACAGACCCAAAGCCTGCACCACCCAGCCTTGCTTAGGGACCCCCGAGGTGCGAGAAATCACTAGGAGGGTCAGCTACAGAGGCAGCCCATTCCAATTCCAGTCTCAGACCCTCCTTCCTCCCGCCCACTCACCAAGCCTCCTCCGTGTACCCCTGCTGGACTCGGGGCCGAAAACCACACTCTGACCTTCTGGGCCACTCAGATCTATAGACTGTTACCAGATCTTTCTTCACTCTGTGCTACATGCATGCCTCCCAGTGGATTGCTCTCTGTTCAGCTGTGGGTCACAGTCTCACGGGGACCAGTAGTGTCACAAGGTCATTCATCCAGAACCTGTTCCTAGCATCCAATCCCTACAACCTAGCAGAAGCTGTGACCAGGAGCACCGGGCCCTAGGAACCCCAGAGGAAGACGGGGCAGAGCCTCAGATTAGGATGGAACCCAACAGTATGAACTCTAGAAGGAAAAGACTGACAGAAACACTCATTCCCAAGCAGAGTTTTTAGGCAGGTTTTAATTTTATTTGGTCAAAACTTTCTGATGGTTGAATGATCTTGTCCAAAGAGATTTTTCTTTATATCATGTTGATAAATCAATATTGCATAATTTTTAAAAGCCCAGATGGAGAGATGAAAAGCAGTTCCACCAAGTTAATGTCTTCATGAGAGGATTCAGCGTGGAGGGCTGGCTGGGGTGGTGTCTTTTGTGGTGTGGGACCGCGATGGCCTGCAAGAGGGGGCAGGACCCAGCCAGCCTGTCTTCATCCCATTGCATCCACAGAACCTTGATCCTTCCGGAAGGCGTAGAACACGGTGACAGTTGGTTCTTTAGAGACAGAGAAAGGATGTGGTGGCAGAATTCAACAAGAAGGTACCAGTTTTTAGGTTGCCCAGAAAACTTGTGCGGGTTAGAGCTGAGCTGGTTAGCTGTGAGCCGTGAAGAGGCTTTCAGGAGCCTGCTCAGACACAGGACAGCTTCTTCCTTGAGGGAAGCAGCATCCTTCCAACAGGGTTTCAGTTCGTGTTGTGTTTTCACACCTTTTGCCAAGGATCAAACCAAAGACGCGTTTCCCGTCTCGTGACTGTGCCGTCCCTGTGTGTGTGCATTTTGTGGCCCCCCCAGTGTTGTCTGACCATGTCCAGCTGGAGCCTGACGGAGGCTGTCTCCACGTGGGAACTGGGTCCTGGCACTCGGCAGGGGACTCAGTCGTGAGCAGAATTGCAAGGGAAAGTCAGCCCAGGCTGAATATCAGTTAGTTTAGGAGACAGGGTTACAGAACAGCCTAGAGTCTCTGACTTTTCGACTAGTGCGAAAAGTGACCATCCACCACTGCTTGGCCACCTCCTGGTAGTCATCTCAGTCCATTGATTCCAGTGATTCCAAAATAGGCCCGTCCCTTGAGAGTCGCAAAGCCAGCCTTCATTTTCCTGCAGCTAACCCTGAACCAGAAAGTGGTGAGATTGACCTTTACCATTTTCTCGTTTCCTGGTGGAGACTTCCTCTGGCCCCTCATGACTCTTACTGAGCAAGGAGAAAACAGACATTGGCTGTTGCTGGAAGCCACTGAGATGCCCCAGTCTGGGCAGACCTAAGCAAGACCCAGGGCTGCCTAATCCCTCTCGAGGGGCTCCCTCCAGCTCTAGGGCATGTTAGGAAGAGGTCAGGATCCTGGCTGCTGGTGTTATTCCTTTATGTGCTTCAGACTGGGTTCCAAACTTCACATTGAAAATAGAACTTTATAAGTGGAGAGAAGAAAAGAATCATCTGGCAGAACCTCCAGCCATCTGACATGAAAAGTGGACTTTCTGGTGGTGAAGGATCCTTTTTTAAAGATGGCTTCCAGTTGCAAGCGCTTTGCTCTGCAAGATGGCGGACACCGACCTGTGTGTTGTGAACTTGTTGTAGCCCCTGTGTCTCTTTCTTGCATTTTACTTTCCTCGCACATGTGTGTGCTTTTGTGTCGTTGTTAGTGTGTGAGAAACATGTTTCCCCTTCTTCTCACACTTCAAGAAAGGCCGCAGATGTCTACCGCTAGCTGAATCGCGTTGCCGCTGGTAACTTGGACTCTGAACTCAGGTTTACTCTGAACCCAGTGAGAGGAAAGGGAATAGCTGTATTTTTTGGTGTGTGTGTGAGCACCCGGCAAATCTATGAAACCAAGTGAAAGAAGAAATGTTAAATTCTTTATTATATTATTATATTTATATGGAAAACTTGACTATCCCTTTGGTAAGTACAAAGTGTGTTGTCTGTTTGACCCATGACTGTCCCCCCTCAGTCTGTGCCTGTGATTTCAGTAGCTACTGATGGGAATGACTGAACTGTCAACTGGTCACAAAGTCTTGGAGGAAAAGTCCATTGTAATTGTATGATTTGGTCATAAGTAAGTTTATGTCACCACTGTTAAATATATGTACTTTTATAATGACTGTGAAATACACTTTTTCCTCACTATGACGGCTTCTTTATTTGCTCATACATCTTAAAATAAGAAGATTGTAAAGAACAGAATCATCCTGGGCATTTTCTAGTCCAGTGTTCCAGCCACATTTCACCTGCACCAGGTATGTCTACAAAAGCCTCTGTCACTGACACACTGCAGATGGCAGCTCAGGATGAATCAGCATTTTACAGTGTTGAGGGGTCAAGATTTCCCATGGCAACTCAGAAAACAGCACTTGCAGAATGATGTCTGTGAACATTGCTTCTGGATATTGTCCTTCCTTCAGGCCTGGCTCAAGGTTGGGGTGGGGAATGATGGGAGGGGATTGAGGGGGTTCTAGATTAGCTGGGTGGATTGTCCCAATCGTTGCTTCATTCCTAACTGTGCACAAGACGTTTTTCACACATACCAGCTTGCTTAAGCCTCGTACCCCTTTTACAGTGATGAAATGAGGCTTAGTGGAGAGGCCTCCATTTCTACCACACAAAGCTCACTCTGGATTTGACGCCGAGATAAAGGAACAGTATCTAATTTTGATATTTTCTTGTAAGAATCACAACATTTTAGAGCAGAAAGAAAACCTGAGAATCTCTGGTTCAATCACAGCCTTTTTTTTTTTTAATGAAGAGGAAGTGGGGGCCCCAGTAGTTTCAAGACACCCAGAGTTCCCAAGTGAGCTAGCATCAGAGCCGGTCTGGAACATATATTCTTCTCTCAAAGAACAGAGAAATTTATATGTGGCCACTATGTTTAGAGGGTAAAGTTGACAGCAGATGAAGCTGTCATTCCAACAGAATTTCTGAGGTTCTACAAGGATCCAGTCTTCATTTTTAAGTTATGTGCAAAATTGGGCAGCTTCTTGTGATTCTGCACAATTCGAGAATAACTGTCCTAATTGTGCAGATTCTTGAACATCCCACTCTTTCCACCCTCCATCACCAGGTATCGAAGCTCTTACTGGACTCTTGTCTTCCTTGAGAGAGCTCCCAGGTAAGCAGCAGCCTCTTGATAGCTTGTTACTACTTTAGCCATTCTAAGTCTATTGGGTTTAACTGGGTGAAATCGATAAAACATCTCTTGCATACAGCCATATCACAAAGTTAGACAAATTCATAAAGGACGCAAGACTGGTGTATTTTTTAGGGGGGTGGGTCTGGAAGTCTGTTATTTTGTTTGTTTTCTTTGTAGCATCCTCCGTGTGCCATAGGCACAGTAAGAATAATTCAGAGCAGTACTGGGAGCTGGTTCAATTTAATGTCATCACTTTTCAATGAAAGGAGCGTGTTTCCTGAGTAGTAAATGAGTGTATTATTTGTGGCAGCTTTTTTTGTCAAGGGAGCTTTTCAGACATCTGGTTCCAAAGACAAATGGGGCACATATTTGTTCTTCTTTTCTGTGGATGTGTTTCCGCAACACACGGTTATGCCTGGGATTTGCTGCCTGTGGGCATCCAGGAAGGGGGAGTTGGGGAGGTGGAGCAGAGGTCTTTGAGAGAAGATGAGGAGCATCTCAGGCTTTGCACCCCCCCACCAAGTATCCACATCTGAGCTGGTGTTCAGATAATAAGGCATTTGGGGACCCACATCTGGGGGCATAGAATAGCTTGATGTGGAGCAGCCTTGGGGATCAACTGGAGTGGACTGGTTTACGTTGACAGGATGGCACATTGTGGAAAGGACGATGCCAGGAAACTGTTACTTATTGGTGAAAAAATTAATAGCTCTGATTCAAGGGCCTCAGCTGCTTGCATTCCCTACTCAGAAAATGACCTGAAAGCTATTTTGAAAGCAAAGGCTTTAACTTATATGTAAACTCTATATGGTGACAAAAATTCATTTTTTCCTAGACCTGTGGCCACAGTCAGGTGGAGAAGGATAGACTGCCATCCTATCACCAGAACAAGGCTTCTTGTCTAAAACAGGTGATGGATTCGTGGCAGGTCTCCTTCCCGTGACCGTGACCCCTTCGTTTCTGTTCTCCCCTCTGGCAACCAGGCTTTTCTTAGGTAACATATTTAACCCCGAATCTCTGTGACCTTCCCAAGGAAGATTTGTTTCCTACTGAAGTTTTTATGAGGCTCACTGACTCCAAAGCAGCCGTCTGTGGTGACTCAGGGATCCTGGCTGCTTCCAGCCACTTATAGCAAGAAAGGGAGAGCTGGGGAGTTTCCCACCAGCCCTGAGTGCTCTGTGAGGGCCATATCACTTCCCCTCACAGCTCATTGGCTGCAACTCGTCTTCCGGGCTAGGAAATGGGGAAAGCAAATGGCTATTTCGGATACAGATGATATTTCTGTCACTTTAGGGAAGGTACAAATACCTGCCGTGTATATGTGGCCACTATGTTTAGAGGGTAAAGTTGACATTTAAAGGTACCCTACAACTAGACTGGCCTTGCCCCATCGTGACACCATTTATAGCATCTCTTGGTGGGTGCCGCTTTTCTTAAATAAGGGGATTAGCGTTGGGAAATTGTAATGTCTCGTTTAAGGGGTGTGTTTGGGGGCTGAGTTGTGTCCTCCCCAAGTTTATACATTGAAGCCCTATCTCCCAGTACCTCAGAACGTCACTGTATTTGGAGATGGGGCATTTAAACAGCCACGTTAAAGTGAGGCTGTTTGGGTGGAACCTAATCTGATCTGACCAGTGTGCATGTAAGAGGAGATAAAGAGGGCGCTGGAGAGACCAGGGGTGGCAGAGGGAGAAGGCAGCCAGCCGTCTGCCAACTGAGGAGAGAGGCCTCGGGAGAATCTCTGCCAGCACCCGATGTGATTGGCAGCCTCCAGAACCGTGAGAAAGTACATTTCTGTTGTCTAAGCCGCCCAGACTCTGGTATTTTGTCATGGCAGCCCCAGTAGGCTGTCCTGGGGGGGGGGGGGAGGCCAAATAGTAATATTTACATAGTCCACATATCTTAGAAGTTTGATCTGCTGAATACATTTACCCTTTTCTGACAACTAAATTACTCTTAGAAAGTTTCCTATTTGGGGAGTGACCTTTTATTTATGTTCCCTGAGTGCTAAGCTTAGTGTCCCAGTTATTTTCAAGAATATTTCCTCCTTTGACCCCGAGATCTGCAAACTTTTTCTGCAGAGAACCAGATAGTGACTAGAGGATCACCATGCAGACTGTTGCATATTCCTGTGGGTTTTTTTTTTTTTTTTCAGTTTAGTTTTTATACTACAGCCACTTAAAAATGTGAAACCCATTCTTATCTTTGGTAGACATTAAAACAGATCACAGCAGACTTCTACAGCTCCCAGGCTATGATTTGCTAACCCTGATTTAATCTTCACAAGAACTCTGTATCGTGTCATATTTTCTCCATTTAGAAAATTCTGTCTAGGACTCAATCAACACACAGAACAAATGATCACTTTAGGAATTCACCACTTGGAGACAGAGAGAGATAAAACTCTTTTTATTGTGTCTGGGACCACGGGCTGGCTTTCTGGACTCGCAGAAGGGTCTGTTAATAATAGTAATGAACAGGTCAGGAGTTTGGCAAAATGATTTGACTTAAGTGAAAGAGGAGGTGGGCAGAGAGCCTGGCTTATCTCTTTAACACTCTTGTGTTGCTTTGGGTAGATGTATTAGTCTGTTTTTCATTACTATAATGAAATACCTAAGGTAGGTTAACTTTATAAAGAAAAGAAATTTATTTAGCTCGGGGTTCTGACCCAAGGCCAAAACAAGCTTCTTGTTGGCAGAGTGTCAAGGTGGCACAAGGCATCACGTGATGAGAGACAGGGAGTGTGCATGTGTTCCTACATCCTTGGCCTCTCTTTCTATAAAACCAATAGTAGTCACCCAAGGGGCTGCACCCCAATGGCCTTATCTAGTTTAAGTCACCTCCCAAGGATCCCACCTCTAAATACCATAGTTGGATTAAGCTTCCCCCACTCCTAATGCCTCACAGTGAAACTAAACTTCAACATGCAGGCTGGGGAACACACTCAGACCACAGCGGTGGATTTCCAGCCATCCGCTGGCATGGCGAGGCTTCGGGAGGCCGCCCGGTTCACGAGTCCACCTTTGCCACTGAGTTCACACTCTCAGATTCATTCCTGCCTTGTCTGTACAGTTCAGTTTTTTTGAGTTCTTTTCCATCTCAAGCCCATTTTCTCTTTTGAGAATGGATTCTTAAAAAAAAAAAAAAAGAAAAAGAAAAGAAAAGAAAGGAAAACAACAACAAAATGGCTCATTTGCATATGAGAAGGGAGAGTCCTGGGGAGCAAGGGGAAACCTAGAGTGGATGTGGAGCCCAGTGATGCTCCCAGACTTATCATGACCATTACTCACAACTGTGTGACGTGGGGCTGCGGGCTGGACAGTCGCCCCCTCTGCTGAAAGATGAATGTGTCATCTGAGTCAGAGCGTCCAAATAGCCCATTCAGTGTCCCTCCCACCCACGGCCACTTCAGTTACGTGAGCCATGCTCTCTCACAACAGTCAGGCCCACGTCAGAGAACCACAGGGACTCTGGAGTTTACTCGCCTCTGGGCCTAGATCCCCAGGAGTTTGGAGAAGCCCAGTGCAGCTCCTTGAGCATGGTTTTTGTAACTCTGCTAATTCAACAACAAAACCATTTTCCTTAAAACTAATGGGTCACACGTACTGGTGTAAAATTAGTGTGAGTTTTGTGAGTACAACCCTCATCATCCTGTCTGCTTTGGGACTTTGGGGGAATAATTTGAAGAAGCAGGGGCCAGGTCCAACTGCCCTCATTTACTGAGGCTGCATTTGAGGCCTTGAATGGAGAAATGATATACTGAAAAATTCATGGTTTGTTGGTGGCAACATCTGTCTACAAGTTCAGTTTTCTTCTTTCTAACCCAGGAGAACCTAGAATTAAAGGAGTCCCTGTGGATTGTCAGATGGATATATGAATAGGTGGATGATTGGATGGATGGATGGGTGGGTGGGTAGATGGATGGGTGGATGGGTGGGTGAGTGAATGGATGTTTGGGTGGGTGGATAGATGAACAAATGGTTGGGTGAGTGGATGAATG